AGTGATCGCAATAAAATAATTCTCTAGTCCCAATAACGATGCTCTATTTCCGCAAAAAGATCTATTCAATCGTTCTGTTATTAATTAAATAAAATTCTAATCTACATCCAAATTTCGAATAACGAGTAAGAGATACATATCGTGGAATATAATATGCTACAATGGAAAAATAAAAATTTAATCGTTCCACTGAAGAAACATTGCGGATAAAATGTTATACATTGTTTTCGTTCGTCATTTATTATTCGAATAAAATTGTACCCATCTCTTCGTTGAGCACTACCGTGACTGGGTTTCGGCACTCGTAGGCGAGAATTTATTATTCGCGAACTTGTACCTGGTATTCGGTAGCTCACGTGGTCTCAGAAATGGCCACAGAAGCGGTAGTAGGTACATACGTGCATGCAAACGCCGTAGCATAAATATAGATACCTGTGCGAGGAAAATACGGGTGGAGGGAAACCGCTTAAGAAAATAAAACGAGACATTCTCTAAACTGTGCTGATCGTATCTTCGGCGGAAAGCTTCGGTTTCCCTTGCGAATATCGTGCCAATCGACGCGATTGGAATCCCGCGCGCACGCGTACCCTCGTCGCCGGCATTTTGGTAAATAAATATGTTAAAAAATAAACATAGCGTCCAGAGCTGCAACCACGATTCCGACGACTTTGGTAAATTTTTAATATGGCGTTCTGTCTCACGTATCATCTCGCTAATATTTTTAATAATTCAACAACCGAATAACAATAGTATCTTATTTGTTATAATATTTGCTTCTATTAATATGAGATTTTAATTAAAATATTAGGTACAGAATTAATTCTGTGTCTTTGAAATTTCAGTTTAAGTAAAAGTATTAATTCTGTGTTTTTGAAACTTTAATTTAAGTAAAAATATTTAATCGTTACTTTGTTATTATATGCTAAAGTACCAATCTTCTAGGTTCTCGATCTGGTCTCCATTATAATGAATCTATAAATATAGAAACTAAATCTTACTTTGATGACCATTACAACGTATGGATATGTATATACGAAGCTCGATTACAAGTGTTCTTTGTAATTACAGTGATTATAGAAAAATAACAATAAACAAAATTTGATGGCTACTAAAGTTCGTACAGATGTATTGCAATGACCATCAGATTAAGGTTTAGGTTATGTGTATAGATACATCGTAATAGAGCTCAGGTTGAGGATTTAAAAAGTTCGTACTTTAATCTACCAAAATGACGAGTAAATATATCTGTTTATACAAGAAGTGTAAATTCTACTTTTACTTAATATATAACTTAACATTTATATTTTTAAATTGTACTCTTCTCAAAACACAACTTTATTCAATTTATATGTATGTATATAATATTTCATTTTTAAATTACCGTAAAAGAAATCGAAATCACAGATCGATATACACTTGGTTGACAAAAACCTTGCAATCTGATCTTTGGTATTTTTGAAAGATCCAGAATTTCCGACTTGTCAATTCGATACATAGAAGAACTTATTTGCTCGCACGTTTAAAATTGAGGAGTGGTAAATAAAAGATTCAACAAATAGGAACTGTGTAGCAGCCAGCAAGAAATTCATGAAGTAGAATAAAACTTTACATTCTTTCCAATTTAAAAATCGAATATAGAGCTTGTGCATCTTTCCTAGTACAAGTACATATGTTTCTCGTTTTCGATACATATATTTCTCTTCAATCATTCTTGTCAAATGAAAACACTAATTGCTTTACATTGCTCAAATACTCCGACGAGACAGAAAAGATTTCAAATCCATGGACAAAACAAAATGCTCGAATCAACTAGCGAGGCATATAATCTCATCTACCACAAGCATCGACCAACGTCACTTTTTTTTTAAACTGTAGTATACTAGTTTCATAGTCTTTCCAATTATACAGTGCGGCCAGATTTTCTTCGAGCGGGTGTACCATAGCAATCTCGATCATCGCGGCGTCGTCGACACTCTTTTACGCAACCGCGCGTGTTTGCGATCAAGCACAGATAGGCAAAATCAAAACTGTCCAGATAAAAGCGTCGAATAACGAACAAAAAAATACACAAATATTTAACCCTATCTCATCGACCAAAAATTCAAAATATAATCACAGAAAAACATATACCATTAAACGAACTAAGAAGATAACTAAGAAGTTTCCATTACCATCGAAATTTCACTGCCCTCATCGAACAAACGTCACGAGTAAATTACTGCGAGTTTTATTTGTCGTTCTCCATACGAATACTTGATATTTTGCCCTTATAGTTGCTATTAGGAGAGTTCCCAAAGCGTTTTTAAATCGTCGAACGTGCCTTTCGCACGGGAAAGAGCGACTGGATGCAGGGTTCTTACCTGTTAAGGTCATCTCGTTAGATGATACAAAGATTGACTTCACTTCGCATAGACATCACTCGGCGTGGAGACCGCGTGGCACGTCCTCGGTGTGTTCGTTCGATCAGGAAAACAACCTGCGGCACGTTCTTCCGGTTGCGGCGCGGTCCTCCGGTGTGCCTCGACCGCCACGAAGCTTCCTCCTCCACCAGCTGCGTCTACTTCGTCTCCTGACCCGTGGCACAGCACACCCTGCGCCACGAAATCTGACGGCAGGAGGCCCTGCTCCGGTCTAAAATCGTCTCGACACGGCACTCTCGGCTTCGTCGTTTTAACGAAACGCGGACATGCGCCGTGTGCGACGCTCCTACGCCTCTTACTCTTTCTCCCTCTTTCACCCGTTCTCACGCCGCCTCATTCCCGCCCTCCCTTCCCTCTTTCTTTGGCCCGCGATCACCATCCCTGATGTAACTTCGCGCGGTCGGTGTTTTTTTATCTTCGACCGATCGCACTCGGTTCGCCGTTTTTATTACTTTCCCTCGACGGTTGTTTATTAAGGGAGTACGTCCGGGCAGAAATTTGGAAATTTACGACGTTTTTGTTGTGTTTTCTTAAGGTATACGACGGTAGAAGTAATACCTGAAAAATTGAAGTCAATCTGTTTAACTCTTTATAGGTCACTGGTACTCATTGTTATCGCTAAGGAAGGGGTGAAAATTTTGTATTTTCAAGTTTCTACGCTTATCCATACAAAAGGTGAAAAAATGACCAGAGAGCTCTACCCTATAAAGGGTTAAATTTGATGAAGATATATGACTTTGTACATAGCTCGCTCCAAGCTGATGTGAACTGAACTTGATACTTTAAATACGTTTTCCTTAAAATAATCATTTTCTAATCAGTAACTACGATATCCTGAAAACCACTGAACAAGTCCAGCTTACGTTTTTAGAGCTATCATAGAACATAATGCTTTTCTATTGGAACGAGGGATTTTTATTTTCAATGCGTACTTTCTTTTCGTGGTCGAAAAATGGGCGTTTCTTTTTTGTGAAAGTCGAGAATTTAACTTTAGGGGATCGCCATTTTGTCAAAGAGCTCTCGCTGAATATCATTTACGGTCGCACTCCATGAATGAATGATCCATAAAGTTTATTAGTTATATTATGTAACAAATTATTATTAGATTGTTTAAGAAATTAATTTATCTATTGTTTTGTGACAATACATACACGATGCAAACTTAGTCTCAGTCTTTGCATTTTATACAGTCGATTTGCTTTCTTGAGCATACAAATCGATCGACCAACTTGACCTGATTCATTTGTGTTATTGGGAATAAAAATTAATTTTTTGGCCTTGCATATATCATTGACATTATCATTTATTATCAGTAACATGAGTTTACATGTACTACAGTTCGACTCTCATTTTTGAGTCCTCTTCAGAAAACATAGATTTCAAAAAGAAAATGAAACTGAAACAATATAACATAGTGGTAGAAAAAAATACATATAACTATATCGAACAGTTCTCCTTTATAAAACAAAACCAGAGGAAATAACCATATTCATCTATCATCGAATTCGTGTTGTAAAGGGGCCTGGAAATAGATAAACTTCAAATTGAAATTCAACAGAACATTTTGTACATATTTATTATGAGTAAAGACGGTAAGAATATTATAATAATAAATAAGAATAAATAAGAATAATTTATAATTATATGCTGTCTGTCGTTAAATATACTCTCTTAACACATACGTATATTACGCTATCTTCTTTGGTACGCGTTTTGGTGCATAATTTCTGAATGAAATACAATAATTGGTTGCGAACAATTGGCTCTTCCAAGCTATTGGCGGCTCAACCGCATTAATCGGCGCGCCGTCGTACTTGACAGGCTGCCATGATGGATTCGAGGGGTACAATGTTGTACCGTCGGAGGTCGAGAATCCCATCGCAATCTTGAACTATCGAAGGTCGAGAATCTCTTTAGAGAAACTCCCTTGCCGTCCGAGGATCAAAGATTTCTTCAGCTCAATCGCGAAATGTCGAAGGTCGAGAATCCCATCTGTGTAGTGATCTTCCGCGTGCACCACAGCTTTCTGCGACCACACTAGTGCTCAACAATACGCGAAAAATTGGGATCGAAAATTTCCATTATTGCGAGGTTGGTCACGAATTCATTTCATTCATTTCAGATTCATTTTGTTGTCTTAAGGAAAATCATCAGACGTCTAATTGAGTAACGTGTGACATTTCAGAATTTTTTCTGACAATACTAAACGTGTCATAAAAATATGTTATATATATATATTAAAAGTATATACTTTGAACAATGATTCTACCAATTTTCATGACAATATGTTAATCTATACAGAAAACGTAGTTTAATAAATTATCGGTTTCCTTTTACGAAATTTATATTTCTTTCCTAAGAATCTTGCGAGTATTAAATAAATAAATGTATTTATAATTTGTTATGTACAATGATAGCGAAACTTATATTGTGTAAACAATTCTTGGTTTATTAAAGTCTGACCACTGTAATTAAAGGAATATGTCTCATCATGTAACTCCGGAATTCCGGTAACGCGTTACAAGGATGCTTATATTTTTTATATAAATTACAATATTTTTATGAAAATTAGCAGAAATATTGTTCGAAGAAACATTTATATTGATCATTATTATTAGCATTATTTCGATTCGATATATAGCGTTCAACAAGGTAATCTAAGAATGAGTAGGTGCTCGGTTGATAAACTTCAAAGTGGTGCCGCACACCATCAGTGTGAAAGTTTTCATATTTCTCGTTGTACTATCAGAGTATTATAAATGAGATTAATAGTGTTCCCTGATGAAAACAGATCTTAACAACTCCTTATTCGAAGTATTGTTAATTGTTACTATGTTGTGAGTTTTTTTCTGGAATGATTGGAAGAATTTATAATTAATTCTACATCCTGAATACTTTTTGACACATTACTGTAATTGGAGGTTACACAATTGGTAATTACACAAATAAAATAATATTTTCATCAAAATGTTAATTAATATTACATTTATGCTAAACGTTGAGTGTACAACAACTAAGGTTTTAATTAATCCTTCATTAATAGTCAAAACGTGGCCAGAGATTTTAAAACGCGCTATGTATATGGTAAAAAGGATTTTTTCCACATTATTCTTAAGTACAAACTGCAAAACATTATTTAATTTCTTTAAAAAGGAAAAAAGTAATGATTTGGTTTTATTTTAATCAAGAAATCCTCTTCAATCCATCGATCAAACTCTCATGTAAATACTACGAGAAGCATAAATGTTTTTGGTTTGCATTGTGACTACCACGCCAATACGCACGCAGCTCAGTTTTGAAGTTCGCCCAATCGAGTTTTATTTTCACACCTATTTTAATGAACATGAACATTAATTGGGATGATTCCTTCGCATACAGTCAGGCACTATCGTACTGCATCCGAATATCGTCATCGTACCGCGATAAATCTCCTAATCTAAGAATAACCATGAAAAATGTCATTGTTTTCGTTTGGACCACCACCAGCCTCGGGACACTCGTCCGCGTATCTCGTGCTGGATCCTCCTATACAGAAGAAGCGCGATGAAGGGGATGGCAAGGGTTTCTTTCTTGAAAATGTAGACGTAAACGGCGGCCATCAGCAACGTCAGATCCGTGACGTACCCCACCGTGAATCTGACATTTTTCTCAGCCTCCAACGCTAGCTGTCCTTCGTTCAATCGACTTGGCACGCGCTCTTCAGAATATTCTCTCTCGATTGCAGATCCACGCCGCAAAGGACGATACTTTTTGCTTTCCAGAGCCTTTTGGAGACGTTCCATCTTCAACCCTACTGGCGTCTCTGGTCTGTTTCTGTCTCTGGAGCTGGACCTCGAATGTGTCCTAGAAGAGGGCTTCCTCGACCTTCGACTTCTTTCTTCGACGGACTTTTCTCTGACGTAGCGTTGTTCCTCGGAGCCTGTTCTGGAGGGAGGTCTCCTGTCTTGAGAAGGAGCACGGACTCTGGTCTTCGAGGACGATCTAGAGGAAGCACCCCTTTCAATGGACACGTTCCTCGACCTTGGCGTTGGAGATTCGGTCCTAGATGGCGGTCGACTTGATCGTTTCTCCTTCACAGATTTTGTGTCACGCGCAGGAGTCGTACCCCGAGACCCCGAGGTGCTTCTCTTAGGCCGTTGACTTTGCTTCTCCTGTTTGACAACTTCTCTTTCCTTTCTAACCTTCGTTCGTTGACTCGGTTCAGCTTCTCGTACATCTTGCTTCTTATTTGATTTCGCAAGGATCACCGTTTCTTGTCGATCTTTGGCTACGTGATCCTTTGCGTCCTGATCCTCCGAAAACGACGACCTTCGAGAGCTGGCCAAACTGTCACCCAGTTTCCTTTCCTCCGAGCTTCTGTAATTGTATCGACTCGAGTGCTCTCTGACGATTTCGGTGTAATGGTTCACTACTGCCATACGCGCCTCGATGTCCTCTTCGTCGACCTCCTCTTCGGACGCTGCTGGTCGCGTTTTCGCATGTATTCTGCGATTCTTGGCCGCCTCTCCTGCCGACAGAACGCTGTCCGTGTCGGATTCCGACAGTACAGGTGTCCTGTGTGTGACTGGTTCAGGGGTAATGTCTGTCTGCTTATCAAGAAAATCTTCCTCTCTCTTGATCATTGGTTGGGCAGACTGCGGTGGTACCTTCCTAATAGGTTTCTCAGGCGGAATCGGCCTACCGAAACTGTTTACAGGAATGGGCTCTTCCTTAGGCTTCTTCAGGATCGACTTTGGAACTACGTTAGTTGGCGACAAGGGTGCATTTGGTTTAGTCGGTGTAGAGGGTGTTACGTCTAGAATCGGTACATTGTGAGGTGGAACCGGTGGTGGTTCCACTTCGATGTGTAAAACTGGTTTTCCTCTAGGATGATACGTGTCCTCTTCTTCCAGCACTTGTCTGGCGAGGATCCTCGCCTTCAGCAATTTCAGGTCTTCGCTATCTGCGCTGCTGTTCTCCTCGGAGGATTCCTCGGAAGTCTCGATGCTCTCCTCCAACTCTTCTTCTTCTTCCTCCTGCTTTTCGTCAGCTTGCGCGATTGGCGGAGTCTGCACCACCCCCTCGATGGGCAGAGCTTCCTCGTTGGAGCTGGCTTGCCAGGGTATGGATTTTTCATTCCCTTTCTCCTCAACCAATGGCACGTTGCTGTCGTGCCACCTGCGCAGTTGCGAAGCCGCGTCCTCCTCTTTGTCCAACCCCCAGCTATGGCCTATTGGAGTCTCTGGTTCACTAGGAAGGTTTGGATCCGATCTTGCCTCCACGGTAGACATCAAGCTAGGGGTTAAGATCTTCAAGGGTGCCTTGATGGCGTCTGCCTGGCTTTCGCTGGATCTCCTGCGGTTCTTCTTCGCCTGCCAGGAGATCAAGTTTTGAGCGGTGACGCCAGGGTTGGACAATCGTCGTCGCAACGAGATTCGCGCCTCTTCAGGGTCTGCGTTCTCTTCCAAGGTAGACGCCAATTCTCCCGTTGTTCTCTCGACCTGCGTCTTCTTCTTGGCGACCTCGGATGCCTCTTCGGCTGCCACCGCTCGATAGAAGCGCTCCATAGCTCGTTCGTGAAGCAGCTCCGTGGAGCTGACAGCTTCTCGAAGGGTCTCCACCACCTGATGTTCCGCGCTGAATAATTCTGGCAGCGATAACGACATGGGTGGTGGAATGAGGTCTTCCATGTCCTCTGTTTCGTCTCCTGTGATCTTAATTGTCACTGTAAGCACACCGAGAGATAGATCTGTAAAATTAACTTTAACATGGACGTTTGCAGAAACGCAAGTAGACAATATGTTGAGGTAGAATGAAACTTGTAATTTCTTTTCATTTTTTCTACTTTATTTCTTCTACCAAGGTAGAATATATTATAAATGATATAAAATAATGTAAGTTTTCTGAGACTATAATGAAACGATTATCAGCATGGATTTTTGTTTATGATTTATTTCAATAGCAAAATATATTTGTGACTGGTTTAGTCTTACTCCTCGTTATAGTTTTTAATCAGAGTTGTGTTAACTGATCGTACCTAAATAAATGAAATAATAAATACCTACCAAACCTTCTGCAACATTATGAAGTACAATTAGTTCCGTAAGTATTCGTACTCTCTATGTCTATCGAAGGAATTTATTTAAATCAAATTCTAAGTTTAATATAATCAATTAAATTTTTCATTATAATATACATATATGTAGTTTATCCACGTACATATTTATAATGAAAAATTCATTTGGAAACATAATACCTACTATTTAATTCGGACATATTTCTTCGATACACATAGAGGGTACAAATACTTATGGGACTGATTGTATATCTACAGGCGCAAAAAGAAGTGAGAAGTAATTCTTACCCATACTTTTTTCCCTGTCGCTGATGTCCACGAGTTTTTTATCTTGATCCTGGTCGTCAGGGTACAAGACCAGCATGAACTCCGAGCTCCCATGCAATGCAGTTTCGTCATCCTCTCTAGGGGTGGTTGGTGATCTTGATTTGTCCTCCAATGAGAGACTTTTGACGAAGGGTGGATCTGGCTCGTCGACGACCGCTTGTTGCTTCGTGAGGGTTAAACTGGCTGCTGGACGTAGAACGCGGGTGGAACGAGTCAAGCTTTCTTCTTCGTACTTTTCTTGAATTTGAGGCATGGAGAGGGGGGACATGCTACGCTCCCTGGATATGGACACCGATCGTGATCGTGATTCCCTGTATGTTGAACGTCTGCTGGAATCGTCTACTACTGGTGGCGAAATGGTGACTGTAGTGGAGGCCCTCGAGATAGCTGAACTTTCCTTGTATAGATTCACGTTCTGTTTTTAATGCACATACGTCATAATGTACCCTACATGGTCTGGAGAAAAATATTGTAGGGAGGGCATTCATATAAAAATCAACTATCCGATTTGTTTTAGATAAAATTTGTATACGTATTCTTATGTGGCTTTTGAACGTTTACATATTGTTTGAAAGATATTGAACAAATAGGGGTATGACTTTTGTGACCGAATTATTTCTTTTCACAATCTTTTCCATTTAATTCAACGTCAAGAATCACAGAAGAATAAATGCATGAATGCCCTCCCTTAACATTCACGCCAAAACTATAAAGATACCTCGTTACTGGTTACGTTCACGTCGATACTTGAACGGTCGACATGATTCTCAACGCGACTCTCGTGCTTTGAAGTGGAATGATCCTTCGACCTAGCGGGAGGAACAGGTGCCGCATCCGACTTGTCCAACGTGTCTAGAGCAAAGGTGACCCTGCTGTCTGCTCTGGATGGTCTGCTGAGTCTCTGGGCGGACACCGATCGACTACTTGGGCTGAAGTGTCCATCGTCGTCATCTCTGGTGCGAGCCTCCTCTCTCGTCAGGCTTCTGGTTCTCTGAGTTGGCACTGCGAAGCTCACTTCTCGTTTCTCACGCGATCTGATTTCCCGATGGCTCTGCGACTTCCCGCTCAAGGAAGGTGTCATTATACTAGATGTTTGAACGAAGTACATCATCGAAATGTAATCAAATATTTTCTTGCATTAGAGATACTAAAAGTATCTAAGTATCCTTCAGGTTTGACCTCGAATTACTAACGAGCTACAACTTCAATTATGAGTTAAACGTACCCCCTTTTTAAATCTGGAATGAAGATTACGTCACTCTCTTCGCTTGGCTCGCTCACACCGTAGGGATTCTCAGCCTTTACTCGAAACTTGTACTCGGATCCCTCGATCAACTCCGACAACGTTGCTTTGGTCTGCCTGCTGGTGATCGCCTTCAGCCACACGTCCCAGCCAATCTAAAGAAAAGCGTCTAACAGTGGGATTTCACTTCACGCGAACAAATTCTGTGACACTTAGATCTCTTACTCTGTAGTACTCAACAATATAGGTGCCTATCTTGCACCCACCATCGTCCTCTGGCTCCTTCCACGACAATGTCACCGATCTACCCAGGGTCATCGTTACCATTGCTTTTCCAGGAGCAGCAGGTCGATCTAGCGAGAAAAATAATAATCGTATCGAATATACAATTTGAGAAGATCGTATTCACATTAGATGTGTGCGGGTAATATACAGATTATAGCAGGTTATAGGTAATAGCTTAAAAACTAATAAAAATTGGGTAAATACATTAAAACTTAATGAATTCGTGTTGAAAAGTACTATCGCATGGTATAAAAAAAAATATATATATATATAGTTCCATTTGAAAAAGGAAACTTGACCATCATATCTCGTTAAATAACAAAGTTAACAAAAATTCCTTTTTGCTGAAACATGAGCCCCACTTTACCATGCAATTTCCATATTTGAAATTTTGCATTCGGCCGATAGTTTTAGAGTTAGAGCGCTGTATCACTAAGGCTGGGACACCCTGTATGTACAACCACTGTATTTGTGTGTATCTAACCCAAACAGCCATTCAAGCACACCCCCGTTTACGTATTTCGATTCTAATGACCTGTAACGGTGACGAGAAACGACGACGTGTTCTCCCCAAGTTTATTCACAGCTTTGACAGTGTACTCTCCCCTGTCAACGCGTTTGGCATCGGGTATCTTCATCACCGATTCACCGTCCATCGTCTCGAATATGTGCCTCTCGTCGTTGGGGATCAATTCCCCGTCGTGGTACCAGAAAACCATAGGCGGCGGTCTCCCAGCCAAGGACACCTTCAATCTGATGGTCTCGTCCTGTTCGAAAAGGAGACCGTCCTCGTACTGGCGTGGTAGCCGAATTTTTGGGGGCGCTAGTCGTGCGAAACATTATCGACAATTGACTAATTAATCTTTCAGCCCGTTTCCCCTAGCAACAACTCGAATATCAAACATCGGGTAAGCGTAACGAAAGAAAACAAAGCTTGACATCCTGCAAACCTTCCAGAACCAATTTCGACTTGGTGCTAGCGTGGCCGGCTCTGTTGGTGGCCGTGCACTTTATTTCGCCCTCGTCGTTCAGAGCGGTTTGGTGGATCAGAAGGACGCTTCTGCCGCTGTCGGTGATAATCCTGGTCCGTCTACTGCTGAAGATTTCGAAGCCATCCTTGAACCACGAAATCTTCGGCAGCGGCGACCCGCTGAACCGTACCACGAATTCGGCCTGAAAATGAAGATGAAGAAGAAATTTGTACTTATATATTTATTTTTTATTAGATTATGGGAGAAAGGAAATCCACTATTAGAAGGTTAAGATTGTTTATGGTGTAAGAAAGGAGCTTGGGATTCTTTCATATTGGATGATTGCGAGTGAATGGTTAAGCTTTCATATGATCCAAGTTAGTACGTATGTATATAATAGCTAGTATGAAGAAACTACGAAACAATGTTTTGTTTTTATTTATCTAAAATTATTTCTTATGATACTAGTGTATGTCTATTATGTTGAACTAGCTTCCCTATTCTGTTACTATATATACAGTAGAAGTTTCTGTATTTTCTGTACATTTTCTGTAGTTAAATATTCCTCCATTTATCTTCTAATAATTTTACCTAAGCATTGATATAACGGTTACAAGTTGAAAAATATAGCATTCGGTTAATAAAACTGAAGTTTACCTACAGATGCTCATAATCTGACAGTTACCTCTTTCGAAACAATTTTTATATAAACATTCCTTCCATATAAAATCACAAAAATTATGGTCAGCAAAGTTGTCTGTTTACTCATAGCCAGTCACATGAATGGTCAATAAATGGACCAATACTAAGTGCAAAACTTTAGAAAGTTACAAGCTAAATAATTAAATCTGTTTCATTTCTTTCATGCGACATTAAACACTGGAATACTCTTATTTAAAGTTACCTTGTACCACTATGTCAAATACTTATACATTCTCCAAAATATTCTACTGAAATCTGAATTTGTTATACTAATTCCTGATAATAACATTCTAGAGTAATTATTCAGAAATCTGAACATATAATATCTATTCTTAATACCAACATGTTAGCTTGACAATTAGTCTGCGGATATTTATGCACTTACGACAAGTGTAAACTTACAAAAATATGCAAAAATGCAAATAAATGCGTAAATATATAAAATATAAAGAATAAACTACACGTTAGATTCATTTAAATTTCTGTTCTTCATTTACGTATACAGTGTGTCTACGTATAAGTTTGGACATACGCAGTGTGTCAATTCTACAACAAATTTCCAACAAAAAATTACTCCTAAACATTTTCTTTGTGTCGCCTTATTCTCGAGAATTTTCACTTTTAATATTTTTTCTGCGTTTTCTACTTGACAATCTTTAAACGGCCATAACTTCACCAAATTACAGTACAAACTTAAAACTAAGTATACGATTCGAAAGAGCGTTAAATTTCCCACCTCTCTGATGACAAACCAAAATTTATTACATAGATTTAACAAGTGAAAAGTTAGGTCAAACTTTACATTGTGAAAATTTTTAAAAATTTAACTTTTTCTGTATCCGTTTTTCGGTTTTAAATACATGATTGTTTGGCGGGCACTCTTCAGGAAAAACTTCCTCGAAATCTCAGCTTTTGAAAGCTATTGTCAAAAGAAATTGTACGGTGGTATTTTAGGGAGAAAATGACGTTTAAATGCAGAAAAGCGTTCAAAATGTCCGCCTCCTAAATCAAAATTTATCGATTCTCCTGCGCCGAAAACATCGATTTTTTGCTTTGTGAAATCGATCGTGTTCCAATCTTTATATTATTTATCGGTACACCGAGGTTCATTTTGGTTAAATAATCTCTAAGAACGAAAATTCTATGGATACATGTTCAAAAACAATTATTATTCACCTCGCACTCAGGGCCTACACACGGCTGGGAGAGGCTTGAGGTGTCATAAAATCGGTTTTTTTCCTAACTGGGAAGGCTCGGTAGTGTCACTAAAAAATACATCAAACCCGATGTCAAGTTAATTTTAAAGTGACAAGTCGATTTTCACCTGAAAATGTCCGCTTGTGTGCATACAATAGTCATTTTCTCCCTAAAACACCACCGTAGAATTTTTTTTTTACTATACAATTCAAAAGCTGAGACTTCGAGAAAGTTTTTCCCGAGGAGTGGTCGCCAAACAATTATGTATTTAAAACCGAAAAACGGATACAGAAAAAGTCGAATCTTTTGGAATTTTCACAATGTAAAGTTTGACCTATTTTTTCACTTGTTAAATCTACGTAATAAATTTTAGTTTTGGATCAGGGAGTTGGGCAATTTAACGCTCTTTCGAATCGTATACTTAGCTTTAAGTTTGCACTGTAATTTGGTGGAGTTATGGCCGTTTAAAGAGTGTCAAGTCGAAAACGCCGAAAAAATATTAAAAATAAAAATACTCGAGAATAATGCGACATAAAAAAAATGTCAAAGGGTCATTTTTTATTGGAAATTTGTTGTAGAATCGACACCCTGCGTATATCCAAACTTATACATAGACACCCTGTAAAAATATGAATTTTCGTAAACGTCCATAGTCTATCGATAACGAACAAATTAAATGGAAAGACCTGTTCGCCTTCGAGGATGACCGTGTCCTTGAGCTCAAGTTCGAAGTACGGTGATGACGAGGCGGACCTTTGCAAGGTCACCGTTAGAGGATCGGAGATCTCGCTGGGCCGCGAGAGACCTATAGCATTCTGCGCCCTGACCCTGAATTGGTAGCGCCATCCTGGCTCGAGGCCGCTCAAGGTCAGTTCCGGAAAGGTGCAAAGCCCTGGTGTACTGCGCACCCAATGCGGTGAACCGAGCCTTCTGTGCTCGACCAGGTAGCCGACAATGGCCGAGCCACCGTTACTTGGCGACCTCTCCCAACGAATACCGACCACATCGGGTTGAGTCTCGTCCGCTCCTGGTATTAAAATAGGTTTTCCTGGTGGCGCTGGAAGACCTGAAATAGTCGAAAACAATGTAACATATACTGATTAAATTATTTAATATATATACATTGCTGCTAAGAAGCTTACAGCAACCTTAGATTCTCGTGAAGGATTTTCTTGTTAGAGGCTATAGGATTTTATTTTTTACAGAGATTGGCAAAACCCTTGGCTTCGTATAAATCTGAAGTTTGCTGATATGTTTGTTTCGTTTCCTCTTTTGAACATTTTCCAAAGAAGGAAACGAGACAAACACATCGGCAAACTTCAAAATTAGAAACCTAAGGTTTTGCCCATCTCTGGTTTTTTAGTCCCTTGAGGGACGAATTTTTTCTGCAGATAACATGCAAGGCATTTATTTTGATATTTCAGGTTAATGGTGCTTCCAACCGTCATCAATATTGTTATTGGTTATCAGAGATATTATAAATGGTGAGGTCATCCTGCATAATACTACTTTGCATTCGCTTAAATATTAATAACACTCACGGTTCAAAATAAGTATTCATAGAAGACATTAATCGTGAGAAATTTTTTTTTATTTTGATATCTATTGGTTGTAATAACTAAAAATTAAGTTCGTTTAATAGTTAAATTAATTATTGACAATATTTGTTTAAACAATGATCGAGAATATAATTTTGCTGACATATTAATGGTTCCAACGAGACCTCGAATTGATCGTAACGCGGTTATTGTTCACCCTTCTGGGGCGCGCGACGCGATCCTCAGAATATTGGGATTTTTCTCATTTTCCTTCCTTGGGCCTAGAATCCCAAACGAGACCCTCCGTATCGATTTTAATAACCGCATGGTGCTTACTGCATCAATGGGACCGCCCGGGGCCGAACCGAGTTTTCTCCTTGAAAATTACCAAACTTTAAAGCGTTATAGCTTGAAAACTAATAAAAATCAGGTAAATACATTAAAGCCTAATGAATTCGTCTTGAAAAGTTATATCGCATGGTATAAAAAAAAAATATTGTTACGTGCGGAGACTTCACTTTGTTTCGTAATTTTTATCAAATCTCTCCTCCGTGACATTTGCCCTTTCGAGCGGATGTGGCCGCGGCCCCTCGATAAAGTTTTTACTAAGAAACTAGGGCGCGTCGCGGGACTGATTTCCACGGAAAAATAGGAGCTACGTGCCTCTACGCATCTCCGCTTAGAATTCATAGAATCAACTCCCACTACCGATTTTTAACCGAATTTAGAGTATATAAACTGATGCGTTTCGCATCTCTCGGGCTCATTTCTTGAGGACACTCTTGAGTAAACACTTTTTCAATTGTAAACGTGACCCCAGCATTTCAACCTCGGTGCATAACCTTGAGAGGAGAAATTAGTTTCCGCGATATACACAAAATCACTTGTATAGTCCATTAACCTAAACCTTCAATATATACATAGTTTAGTAGATTAAATCTAACTATTATTCTGAATACCTATCACTTGAATTATTTAGTTAAGGAGACCCACAGCAATACACCTTTACCGCTCAAGGTGTATTGCATAATAGAAGTTACGAGGCCAAGTAACAATCCTAGTGGCAACCCTTCGTTAGCCATACGTAGGTGCGTCTACAAACGCACATCCCATTAACAAAAAATTGTCGAAACGACAACTATCCTCGGCAGCGCCGCCGAAACAAGCCTCACAGTCCTCGGCTCGTAACAATATATAGTTCCATTTGAAAAACGAAATTTGACCATCATATCTCGTTAAATAACAAAGTTAACAAAAATTCCTTCTCGCTGAAACATGAGCCCCATTTTATCATGCAAATTCCATATTTGAAATTTTGCATTCGTCCGATAGTTTTGGAGTTGGAGCTCCGTATCATTTAGGCTGGGATACTCTGTATGTCTCTCAGATACCCAGGCCCTCCACGCTGCCAGCCCATTCTTATTTCTTTTCCCCGTAGTTCCGCCCGAGTAGCCCCGACCACCGGTGTAATATAATCCTCACCGATTGATACGCTTCTGTCGAGTGTTTTTTTTCTCGGACCTCTTCCTTTTTACTATCTGTCCTTTTCTACGTTCGACGCTCGACACGTGTCAAGTGTACCATATAAAATGTTTTGGGTCTCCGAATTTGCATGGCTCCTTCAGTCGTTACTGTATCTTCTATTGTTTTGCCAATAAACTTCGAGTGTAGAGAGGGACAGCGAATGAAGAAGAGGACGAAGCGACATGCGAAAATGGCGACCAACACCGGGATTATTTCGGTGAGACAATATGTAGTAAATATGTTGCGAATTATGTCGTGTTTGGTCTCATTTTAATCAGAAAAATGTCAGGAATATAATGGTAATAGTTTTACAACAAAAATGGTAATAATAAAAAAAGTTTTATCGTTGCATTAGCATTGTCTCATCGAGATATCCGATCCCGGATCGTGTTACTGTCCATTTATTGTAGAGAAACTTGTGCATTTAAGGAGAAGGTTTAATTATATTATGTATTAGGTACCGGAAAAAGTTCGTGCGGGTTTTCAGAGAAAAATACAAATACTTAAATCTGTTTTAAATCATAGGTTTATTCAACAAAATAATCACCATTTATCGTCAATTTTTTCACTGACTTCGTCAATTTCTTTGCAATAAATATCTGCAGTAATAGTCTGCCACGTGGAAGAAAATCAACGTAAACGATAACCTCGTGTAGTCCACCAAACAGTGATTAGCACCTTCTTCGAATGGAGACTCGGTTTTGGTATGGTTCCTGTTGCACATGACCCCTTCTGAACTCAGTGATGTGATCATCGTACTTTATCATATTCCACCCACTTTTCATCACAAGTTAAAATTCGATCGATAAATGGATATTGCAAATGCTCAGCCGGGAGTATTTGATCTCTTCCGTTAAACGGTGCGGTATCCATTTGCCCAATCTTTTGTGAAAATTAAGTAAATAAATTCGCTTTTTTTGCAGTAGATTCTTCACATTCGAATACTTGAGCAAGCTCAGAACAACTTTATCTTGGATTTGAATTTACGTACTCGATGAATTTTTCGTCTTTGATGACAGATGGACGCCCTGAACGCGGTTTGTAATCTACCGATTCATTTCCTTCTTTGAACCTTTTAAACCATTTCTGTGCGGTTCTTTCACTAACAGCACCTTCGCCACAAACGCTACAAATGCGTCGTGCTGCATTTGCTGATTCACTGCCAAGTTCAAATTCGTAAAGAATAAAAGCACGAATTTGTACTTTTTCGCTGTTCCTACAGCTACACAACAACGAAACAATTGAACTCTACAAAGCATGCATACCAATTACAAAGATCAAGCTTTATGGATGCGCAGGACCCAGAGCCAAACTCCGAGTTGACTTCAGCGACAGTCGCGGAAAAAGTAGGAAACTCCGGGACAAGGACAGAGAGGGCGATACAACAATTGCAGGAGAGACGAGGACAGGGCGATTAGGCTAGCATGATTCTTGTCAAGGATATTGAAGCAAAGAAGCAATATTTTCTAATAATTCTGGTTTCAAAATATTCCTTATACCTTGGCGCATGCCACTGTAAGGCCCGATTTTGGAAAAAGTGTTTGTAAACGAATTTATTCTATAAGAAAAAAAAACCATACTTTTATTATTTACAAAGTATCAAGACTGAAAGTGCAAAATCGGGTGTTAGAGTGGCATGCGGAGTGATGTAAAGAATATTTTAGAAAAAGAATCGTGAGAAAATATTGCTTCTTTGCTTCAATATCCTTGACAAGAATCGTGCTAGCCTAATCGCCCTGTCCTCGTCTCTCCTGCAACTTTTGTATCACCCTCTCTGTCCTTATCCCGGAGTTTCCTACTTTTTCCGTAACTGTCGCTGAAGTCAATTCGGAGTTTGGCTTTGGGTCCTGCGCACCCTTAAAATGAAACCAAACTCATATCTTAAGGTCGATTCAGGCTATACGACACTGACCGGCAACGACACGACAAAACATTAAAACACGCGTTTTAATGGAACTATTTACATTTAACAAACACCGACTTGAACATTCCGTCAACGAGAATAGTGTGAATAGTTCCATTAAAACGCGTGTTTTAATGTTTTGTCGTGTCGCTGCCGGAACGTGACGGTCCGTGTCGTATGTGTAGAGTCTGAATCGACCTTTACAGTTGCCAATTATCACACGAAAATTTATATATAGTTACAATTAACGAATAAACCGCACGAACTTTTTCCGGTACCTAATAGATTGATGGATTTCGTCTCAGCTTTCATGATTTGTAAACAAAATCCCATGGTTCCATATAAAAACACAATTTGTTTGTATCTACGATAGTTTAGGCATTATCGCTTTGTAACAGTTGAGCTGCCCCACCCTGCATAATGAAGACGTTTACGTCACCTTGTGAAAAACCTATAATTATTTGGTAAAACGTCGATGTATTATCGTATGACCTGGAAGTTACAAAAGAGCCATAAAGGGTTAAATAGTTTTTTGTTCTCTAATTAAATACACGCGAATCAGAATAACTTTTATCTTTAAATCATATGATTTTAACATACAAATATGTTGTCTTACTTTATTATGTTAACGTAACAGTTCGAGGTGTTCCGTGACAATAATTTATTTATTTAATTTACTATTTTAAACACGCTGGCTCCTTGCCGTCAGCCAACTGAAATGCTTCAACTATTCAACAATGTTTCTATTACTATGTATTTTGCGTATAACCGTTTTCCTCTGATTATAAAGTGTCTATTAAATGCACGCTAAAGCTTCATGTCCAGCTTTTTGAAGACGGAAACAATGCAGGTTGCGTTATATTTCTAGCATAATGATGTCGCGATGGTATAAAGGAGTTTTGGTTGTTAATAAGTTCACGGAAAGCTCGCACGTGCCAGAACGATGCTCACATACGTGCAGAATCACACGAAGTCTAACACAGGTCCGCAGGTGGCGCTCCAAAAATAAAATTTGAAGCGTTTGGCAATCCGAGGGCCACTGCTGCGCTGTCTTCAGGGTAGGAAAACTATGCGAGACTTTGTGCGTGTCTTCGACACACTTGGACAGCATGCCTATCGTTGCTGGATCGATTTTGAATTCGATAGAGCAACCACATTTAATCGTAACGATGCTCAGTGAATGATACAATTTTAGATAAAATTAGAAATTCGGTTATAAATCCATTTATCATAGACCGAAAGCTTAGTACCACTTTCAAACAATTTCTCAATTTGGATGTTAGTATTATTATAGTGCCAATAATTATGAATTCTTTGGAGATTCAATTTTTTTAAATTCGTTTTTATTTACCATAACAAAATGGTGACAGTCTGGCATTTGAATTTTATTTAAATTATTTCCATTAACCACCCATTAAATACGAATATTACTAATTTCGAAGTCAGGTAATAAAGATAGTATCTTTAATACAATACATACTAACATTAGTTTAAATAATATTATTAATGTGTAATTCAGTACTACAGTATGTATGCTTCAATAATCTCCAATAGTTTTACTGTATGATTGTATGATTGTTTGTGGAGATTGAATTAAATCCATATAAAAACTGTTTGAAGAATACTTTTTCGAATCTTATATGTTATAACATAGAGATAAGTCATTAACCTCGCAAATACTTCGATTATCTAGCTTTAAAATTAGACATGTTCAATTGATTTGACAGTAAATAAATAGAAGATGCAGTTAAATACTTCTACTCTCATCAATTATAATCATTCGTTACAAACCAATGTAAAACATTAATTTCAATGATCGAAAGTGTTTACTTTGGCATTCGTCAAAGAAGAACATTGTTTATACAAGCTATATTTGCAAATATTCAGGAATTCTGATACAATTGTTATTTAATCGACACGTGATAGGAAAATTGCAATACCCATGCCTAAATATCTGAATGTAACATGTAACATAACTTGCCTAATCACGAAACATACTAAATATGTCATTGGCAATCGCCGAATAGGAATATATTTAATCTTTTATTTTAAGATCGTTAATGAAGAGACCAGGTGTTAAACTTCGTTAACTTCCACGTGCCACTTTAGAAGAAATTCAATTTTTCACGGCCTAACTCATGAAAGTGAGTATGGACCTTAAGATATTAGTAGTACAATTGTTTTCTATTAAACTTAATAATCTAATCTTCGCGCAATATTTGAATAATGATGTTCAAATTGTTATTACACGTATGCTGTACTGTACACGTGCTCAAAAATAGACAGATTTGAAATTATTTGAATAGTTTTAACTCGAAGTTATTACTTCTTAGAATTCCAAGAGCACCACACTTCCGATTTGAAAGTTACCAAACATTGTCTGTTAGAATTTTATCAAAACAAATACATATATACTAATATAAAATTATGTATTTTTAAAGAAAGTTTACTATGACATAATTCAATATGAAAATTTGTGTTAAAAAAGAATGACATAAATAAAAAATTTAGTTTAACTCAAATAGAAATTTAAAAAACAAACTATAGACATCAATAGTTCGACCTCATTTGTCCTGTCCACTTCGTTAAACCAGCAAAATATATTCTATTAATTTACAAGTATATTACTTGCAACTTTGAACTTTAATCACAGATTGTGAACATGAATTAGATCATAAGCATCAATGTATATGCCATTATAACTGGCATTTAATAGAATTTAGTCGAAATGTTTTCTAGAACAAAATTCATACTATCATCAAACCATCAAAAAACGAATTAGAAAAAATTTTACCCAGCGATCGTATTAATTTTGTCACGTGTAAATATTCACCACGCCAGACTACCGCCAGGTATGGCAATTCTCTAACATTGTCTTCCACAATGTACCTGTCGCAACACGCAAAAGCAGCCCGCTAATTACCACCGCGTCATTCATTACCGATCACTCAAACGGCGTGCGGAGCTTGACAGATCTGTCGGCAGCGGCAGCCTAATTTTAGATATCATCCCACTATCGAAGCAAGCCAATCAAGACCAGCTTAAACGCCGAGCATCGTCGTTCCTCGCGCCGAGGCATCGTTACCGGGAACTCCATGTCACCATACCTACCCCACCAGTCACGCCGGACACTCCGATCCCATGGAACAAACATCCCCCCGTTTCGTCCAAGAACAATACCACCATCGTAAACCAACGGCGACACCATCGAGATCCGAATCTCCGAAGACGCGCAACGGTCCCACTCTAAGGAGGGATTTCGAACCTGGCATCGTAAATCGAATCCCGACCAAGATGGCGACGTTCGCAGATGTCGATGACACGTCCTCGATCCTCGATCATCCCCCAGAGAACGTTCTCGGGAGGGGGTGAGGGGGGTGAGGCTCGATTAAAGCGGTTGTCTAAGCTCGAAGAAGTTGTCTAACCTGATCCCTCCCAGCGCGGTCTTCTGGAGGTGCCGCCGACAGCCAGGCTCTTCGAGTAGTGGCTCTTGGTGGTGGTGTTGCCCATGATCCGTTCCTCCTCTTCCTCTTCCACGTCGAGCCTGGCCCGACGATCACACCGTTCCTGGCCAGTTTTCCGATGGTTCCGGAACTTCGAACAGCCGGAAGCCCGTCATCGATCGACAGCTCGATGAAAATAGTCGCGGAAAGGGGGGAAAAACCGTCGAGGCGAACGGCGCCCGTCTACGAAGACGGCTGAACCGAATCGAAGAGGGAGCGAGAGAGAGAGAATTCGGCTCGATATAGCGCGAGGCTCTGTGCAGCACTGGCGGACCTCTTCGTGGCCGACGACCGTGGCGACGCCAGCCACTTCAGGCTTCCTCGAACGGCTATCTTCGTCCCTCCCTCTATCACTTTGTTTCCCTCCTCGCAGCGCTTCCGCGAGTCACGCGAAATCCATCGAGACCTCCCGCACCCGATGATCGTTTCTTGATGATCTTAACTTTTATTCATTTTGTTTTTCTCCCTTGAAATGGTATTCTGGGCTAGAGCGTCGATTTTCAGATATTCTTTTTGTTTAAATTCATGAGGAATTTTTGTATGGGGCGTTACACAGATATTTATTCATATTTTAAGAAGTGGATCGCTTGGATCCCTCGATCAACTCCGACAGCATCGCTTTCGTCTGCCTGCTGGTGATTGTCTTCAGCTACACGTCCCAACCAATCGGAAGCAAAACGTCTAACTGTGCAATTTCACTTCACGCGAACAAATTCCGTGATCTTTACATAAGTATTTGTACTCTCTATTTCTATTGAAGAAGTTTGACTAAATTAAATAATAGTTTTGATATTGCCGAATGAATTTTTAATTATAAATATGTACATGTATCAAGAAGCTTATACATGTATATATTGGGTTGTCGAGAAAGTCATGACGTATTTTTTCTTTATTTTTCAAATGTTATTTATTTATATAAAGGACAAAGTTCAATCAATGATACATAGCCCATTTTGTTCGATAACCTTTCGCCACCGTTCAGTGAGTTTCATAATTCCTCGTTTATAGAAGGACCTGTCTTTATTGGCGAAAAACTGACTAAGGTGCTGATTAACAGCCTCATCGGAATCGAACGTTATATCACGCAAAGAAGCTTGAAGAGCGCAAAACAAATGGAAGTCTGATGGCGCAAGATCTGGCGATTATGGTGGGTGTGGTAACACATCCCATCCAAGCTTCAGTAATTTTTTAATTATTGCTTTGATTTTGTCATCATCAACCGCGATGGGTCTCCCTGACCGAGGAGCATCGCTGAGATTAAAATCACTAGCACGCAATTTCGTGAACCATCGTTGGCACTGACGTTCTTGTAAAGCATTGTCACCGTAAACTTTACGCAACTTTTTGCAAGCTTGACTTGCGTTCTTCCTTTTATGAAAGTAAAACAATAGAGTATGGCGAAAATTTCTAAAATTTTCTAAACTCAACCAAATCGGTCAGTCTTTTGTTTAGTACGAAGCTAGAGGTCTTAGTTGTCAAATGACAGCAATCACGTGGTTGCAACTGACTGTAGTACTGCCAAAAGTAAACTAGTGCCACCTGTTGCAGAAATGCGTCACGACTTTTCCGACAACCCACTATTTATATATACATCGACATATTTATACAAATATACACTTGGAAACATCAAACCTACCATTTCATTTAAACAAATTTCTTTAATAGATATAGAGGGTATGAATACTTATGAGACTGACTGTAGATCTCTTACCCTGTAGTATTCAACAATATAGGTGCCTGTTTTGCACCCTCATATTTCAAGAAGTGGGACCATCAAATAATCGAGATCTATGAAGAAAAACTTGAGAGTACCTGACATTTTAGTTAACAGAAATGCACTTTACTGATTGAAATACGATTATATTTACAAAATTCAGAGTATACGATACGTATAATACCACTAATATTTTCTTTATTGTTTTAATTTTGCAGGGATGAATGCTTCGTCATGATAAGATTATATCATTAATGCGCTTCTTTTGATGTATCATCCCACTGTTCTAAATATCAAAGTGCACTATTATAAGATGGCGATACCTTGTTGATTATTAATTTTTTATTATCAATTATTCATCATTTGATTCTTACTAAATTAAATAAACATTCAAACTTCAATTTAGTGATATAAATATCTAAATTATAAATTTACATACATAATTTGATTAAAAGATTTTATTTACTAAATTAATGATTATTTACTAAACTAAATCTGTAAATTTTAATTTAATGATAAAACCAGCAATATCCTTTCACTATGAATTTGACTGTTAATGCTTCCTTCCTTTGTTCCAGAGTAAAAGAGTAATTTACAATAATCTATTCCACAACTTTTTTGTTCATTACCCTTAATACTTAGACAATATATCTACCTATTGATCCTTCCTTTAGGCCATTTTAAGAATATTTCCATTTAATACATCACAGCCTCCTACAACAGTTTTAGCTACACCATACATCAGTCTCTTTAGCTTTGCCATATTTCCACTTTGCAGATGAATTCCATTTAGGTACAAAATAAATCACCTTGAAATGTCCTCGACGTTTCCACCTGGGACCAGAAAAAAACATCATCGCAATGACATCCATGTAAACAAACACCTTTCGTCTGAATTACTTTCTTCTAAAACGAGTTATCCATGTAACCCGATTTAAATGCCCCGCCCTATATGCAGATGATAAAATAGAATACACGAGGGTTTCTTGGCAATTAAACTCACCATCGCGATCACCAGGCGATCGCGTCGACGTCCACGAACTTGAATTTCCGGTGACGTAAAGAGGTGAACGCGTTCGTGACGTCAGTGTCCGATATTCATGAGCATCCGATCCCTCCCTTCCAGGCTGACGCTTTTTGAATTACCTTTATTCCATCATTCTCTGTGGGTATTCCCACTGGAACGTATCATAAGCTTGTATTTACAGAGGCACACCTTGGTTTTCACAGTGATTGGTCAACGCCGGTCACCGACCTTGATTCTTGCACGTGCCATCGAGTAACAAAATGCTTTTACATACACCTCAGAGTGGACAGAAGCCTGAAATTCTTGGCAAAAATCCTGAATGTAGAAGTTGCTTTGAAAGAACTCTTCCTCATCCTATATTGAACTATAATATTTAAGAAATAATCAAGCTCTCGTGTAAACATAATTCACTGAGCCGGTTTAAACTTGAACTTTCATTTAGGTGTTTCTCGTATTCTGCTATCGTTATAAGTTTTATATTGTCACCTTAATATCTGATTATATTTTAAATAATGATATGTTGTTCTTATAGTTTTGTTTTGTTTGTCCTTTATAGATATATGTTTATAATTTATGTGAATTTAAAAAAATGTGTAATATAAATCTTAGAGAAAAATAAAGGAGGTATATATTTTTAATAATGAAATTATCTTTACTTATTGAATAATCCCAGTAGATATCGCATTGTAGAACTGCATTGCTTCTTAAATTAAAAATCTAAATACCCCAAACACAATTAGATGTACTATAACATCTATTTTCAATGTATTCTTTTAAGCACACTTTTGATAAAGTAATATTTGAAGTGTACCTGTATTAAGTTTCTTTTAAGCAATTTTATTCATGGTACAAGCAATAATGCTCCAGTGGAAAACATAAATGAAGACAGGAGTCAGAAAATATAACCGCATTTTATCTGGAATTTTCAAGCCATTATTAATATGTGTACTGTTGTGTTTTAATATTTGATAACATGCAGAATAGTTTCTTGAAATTTGAAAAGATCACTTTTGCTACTCTTGCTACTTTTCCTTCAGGACACTCAATTAGCTCGCAACTTTCGTTTATTAAAACTCTGTTCGTCTTTTTTTGTTCGTTCTATTGGTCAGTCATGTTTGCAGAAAAATGCAGGATCAAGGTTTACGTATCCCCAGAACATCGAACGCTTGGATGTCTTCCCACGTACGTGGATATCAATGCACGCGTACGACGAAAGAATTTGAGGTTTTCTGCTGAACGTGGGAACACGCTACCATCGACCTTCGTGGTCGTCTCGTGTGCCTCAGGGTGGGACCACGTGGCATCCCGTGCTGGTAAACGAAGACGGTACAAAAAGGCGGTACTGGTTTCTCGTACTGGTTGGTAAAAAGTGCTCGAGAACATCCTTCGAGAATGACTTTCTTCGTGCAGTCGACTTGTAATATAGTGAAACTTCCGGTACAAGTGCTCCAGACAATGTTACAGAACTATGGATATGAACTTAACTAATCAACAAAAAGTACCAAAAACAAACAGAAAAGTTTTAATAATAATAATCGTGAAATATTTATTCGTGAAACCTAATGAGTTGAAATTCTTAAATTTCTTTAAAGCTAATGTAAGTAATACCCAGTAAAGTAAAATTTATTGAACAATACTACAGTAGGAAATACACAATTGTTTTGATGGGGACAGTCCAGATTTTTGGGATATTCTGAATAGAATGTTCTATAACATGATCTTAACTGAATGGGCTAAAATGAAGTACGTGCTCTTATAGCTAATTGTAAGATACATAATTGTGTATAGTATTAGACATTGGTCTCTAATTGAATTTATTTTTAGGATATTCTGAATGGAATGTTCTATAATAGAACTTAAACTCAATGGGGTAAAATGGGGTACATGTCCTTATAGGTAATTGTAAGATACATGTGTGTGTATACAGAGTGTCTACGTACAAGTCCGGACATACGCAGCGTGTCAATTTTACAACAAATTTCCAACAAAAAATTATTCTTAGACATTTTCTTTGTGTCGTATTGTTCTCGAGTATTTTCACTTTTAATATTTTTTCTGTGTTTTCGACTTGACACTCTCTAAATGGCCATAACTCCACTAAATTACAGTGCAAACTTAAAAATCAGTACACCATTCGAAAGAGCGTTAAATTTTCCATCTCCCTGATGCAAAATCTAAATCTGTTACGTAGATTTAACAAGTGAAAAATTAAGTCAAACTTTACATTGTGACAATTTTAAAAAAAAATTTGACTTTTTCTCTATCCGTTTTTTGGTTTTAAATACATAATTGTTTGGCGGGCACTCCTCGGGAAAAACTTCCTCAAAGTCTCAACTTTTGAATGGTATAGTAAAAAAAAATTCTACGGTGGTATTTTAGGGAGAAAGTGACGTTTGTTTGCAGAAAAGCGGACGTTTTCAGGTGAAAATCGACATTTTTCAACAAAAATCGACTTGTCACTTTAAAATTAGCTTGACATCGGGTTTGATGTATTTTTTGGAGACACTCCCGAGTCTCCAGAATTAGGAAAAAAACTGGTTTTTTTTACCGTACTGATTTTGTACTGATTTTTAAGTTTGCACTGTAATTTAGTGGAGTTATGGCCGTTTAGGGAGTGTCAAATCGAAAACACAGAATAAATATTAAAGGTGAAAATACTCGAGAACAAAGCGACACAAAGAAAATATCTAAGAGTAATTTTTTGTTGGAAATTTGTTGTAAAATTGACACCCTGCGTATGTCCGGACTTATACGTAGACACCCTGTATATTGTATAATATGTTGGTCTCTTATTGAATTTATATCTCAGAAGCAGTGTATCAGAAAATGGGGATGGTTGGTATGGTGACCTCTATACGTGGGACAGTACTATCACTAGGTATTTAAACAAGTTCTATATGTGTACATGTATGTATGTATTGCCTATTGGTCTCCATTTTGCTTCATGATCCTTTGTCTCGTATTCAATAAATGAGACACTGATGCCAGACAATTTTTAAAAATATATTCCAAAAATAGACTCTGAAAGCTTGCTCCAATTTGGAAATAGTCCTATTTCCAAGACCAAAATTAATACCCAATATTGCAACTCGATAAGCATACGAGCTCTCACCACCATGGTCTCCGAAGAGCAGCCGTTCTTACTTGGTAAAAACAAAACGAGTAGATTTTCGCGAGAGTACAAAAGAGGACTCTGGCTACGGGAGAAAGAGGTCGCGAAAGGAGACGGAAGACTACGAGGAAGAGAAAGGAGTAGGGGAAGACGGTTAATCGGTGCCAGAGTACCGTTGTACCTGAATGGAGCAGCGAGATGGCTTTCGGTTTCCCTGCAGCCTCCGTCGCGGTTGCAGCTACGCTCTCCGCTGTTACTTCGACTTCCACGTACGTGCAGGTGAACGTGTTTGCGTGCACGTGAAAGCGCGCGACAGTTTTCTTTTCCACGATTTCAGTCAACGTTGTTACGCCTTTACGGACATTTCCGCGTGCTATTCCGCTTAGGGTCGAGCGGTACCACGTGCACCTGCGGCCACGATACCGACTCCCCCTCGCAACAGCTGTTGACGGTCCTTTCCCGACACGAGGTTTCCCAGTGCTGGCGATTCCACCGCGTTGTTCCGTGAGATGGTCCTCGAGGATGTTCTGAGCTCGTCCCAACCTGGCCAACTCGACCAACTGGATCCCCGTCGTTTCCTCTCGGTGAGTGCGTGTCGCTCAGTTGATTAACCGTTAAACCCTTTGAGCAGTGAGTGCTTCGTCCCGACTGGAGTGAGTCTTTTCACATATGCAAATGCTTTTCGAAATTTTGTTTGGAGTGTAGTTTCTGGTGATGCGTGAAGTATTGTTTTTATTAGTTATGGAATAGAATGGGATGACGTTTTGAATAGATAAGTTAACCCTCATATGGTGTCATGAGCAAGTGTAGGCTTGATAGATTTAGTTTTTGGTAAAAAGAGAGCAGAAAGATTGATCATTTTTCTAAGACATTGTTATTTTAACTGGTTCTGTGCAATGTTTTCTATTGAAGCGAAGGGAATAAGCAGACGTCTGTGCCACTAATGTTTTCGGAGTTACAAATGTTCGCTTAATCTAATGGACCCTGATACAGTTGAAAGTTACTTTATTGCATCGTAATAATAATATCGAATGATAGAATATTTTCGTTCAAAAAGTGCATCGTTCTAAGGAGGAGGTGTGATCTATAAATTATGTTTTGGTTTCCAAGCTTTTTTCACGTAGATATGGTGCGGATCAAGTGGTGCAATAGTATGCACTTCATTTTCTGAAAATCTTGAAAGACATAATAAAGAATTCTGAGTTAGTTTATTGAATATTTATCGTATTTTAATTAAATTTACTGGTATATTTTTCGGGCGACATGAAAGACATTGTTATAATTATTATCATACTCTTATAGACTCTTATAGGAGTGATCTTTAGATACTGACTTTTGAAAAATTATGCAAGTTGAATAGCAACATAGTCTTATACAAAGCTGGCAGGTTTTGGGCCCAAAACGACTCAACCTTAGTGGTACCAGTATTTAGTATTGTTTTTATACAGGTGAAACATCTCAATTTTGCCAGCTTTTAAATTAATTATTGTGTGTAAAATATAATCTACAAATTTTTACTTCACCCACGATATGTAATTTAGTATAGATACTCGAAAAACAAAGATTCTTTATGCTAACTCAGCTTTATATTATTGATCTACATACTTTGTAATAGTTTGCGTAGTTCAGTCAAGTTTCATGAAAGTCGATATTGCTTATTCTAATATAATTTCCTGATACACAATTTCACATTTTTACATAGTTAATAATATTCTTTGGTTACTTCACAATTTAATAAATTTTTGTTTCTTATTGGCGTTACAAGAAGACGCCATCGCGATGCAATCGCACTTCCTCGTGGCGCCAAAAATTTGCATGCTCGTCGTGTCTTGCAACAGACAGAGATGAGCAAAACAAATTTTCATTCCATTCTAGTTGATTAAATGTTACAATCTGAATAATACAATAATATTACATCTTATATTCAACGAACAAAAATTTATCTAAGTGGCTATTCAATTAATAAACCTGGCTTTTATTAAATATCCGTATATTTGATGTTATTCGTCACTTATTTTATTAATCGAATGAAATATTGCCCCACTTCTGACTTTAATAATATGTAAACACACTATGTCTTTTGTTGCACAATTCAAACGTAAATATGCATTTGTAGCATAGTAAGGCAGGTGAGGACAGGCGTAAATGTACGTTTGTACTGTTGAAAGGGTTAATTGGACAGTATTCGTGACACCGGGCCGGACGTCGTTGCGCGCGAAGAATTTGTTGGTCAAGGTTTCGGTGGGAAGGTGTGACACGACGTCTGGAGCATTCAACTTTCACTGTGCCCTGTGCTCCCTGCGATATGTGCAGCTCGACAAGTTTAATAAGAGTTCATTGTGCATCCTGCTTACCTTAGGAACATTTCTTGAACTTTTAAATATTATAAGAAGCTCTTCAAAAGAAGCTTTAGGATTTTTTTTTTAAATCACAGTGTTCGCTTGCCAGTGTAGACGTGGTGGGCACTTAAACATCATTTTCCATGTTTAATTATGGTTATGCTTACATTTATTTAAATTAAATGAATGGGATATATTCCACAGTATATGAATTTTATATTAAATCAAAATCCTGCAGTCTCTTTTGGACATTTCATACTTTCTAAAGTTGATTAAATTGGCCATTTAAGACGATTTGTAAATGTATGAAGAGAGTAAACAAGAAACAATTAATAATAAAGCCAAGGTAATTTTTATTGGATTTGGGGGAATTCATTTTTGGAGCAATAGTATTTAGAAGGAATGAAATAGGAAGATGTGTGTACAAATGTATCAATCTCCCTGCGGGATGCAATGCAAGAATAAGGAAAATTCTTATCTAATCACATATTATTCCTTATCAGCAAATAAAAGATGTGTTTATTTGTTAGAATGCAAGATAAAAGTTTCGTAATATCCAAGTGAGAATTGAATTGTTCAAATTAATAAGCTCTAGAAATAAATTGCTGTACGTCGGGTTTATTCGTTATCAATTCGAATAAAAGACCCGTTTCTGGTGCAGCCTCGCGCGTGTTTCTACTCGAGAATGCGTCGCAACATGCAAACCACGAGATCGTTTTTACAGTCAACGAACCTGATCACGTGTAACACAATTCCGTCGATCGTGCTACGATCGTGACACCGATCGTTGGCCAGGTCGGTTCACCGCGCACCGTCTTGCATTACATCAGTTATGCGACGCACGACGGTCAGTTGATCGTAAATTAAGTGACTTCTTGCCCGGTAATATGTGTGCTTAGCCTCAGAATTGTATCTTTTTATATAAAGTATAACTATTTATTTGCAACGTTTATTCGATCGAATAATTAAAATGTAATTTATTCAGCGTAGAATACTTAGGTCTAAAACTGAAAGTCTATTTTATATTTACTTCCAGTATTAATTCAATTGAACAAATAAATTTTTTATTCATGACTCCTGAAATACTTAATTTTATGTTTGAAAGTTTAATTTTTATTTTTCTGTGACGTTTATTTAACTGAAGAACTAAATTGTAATTTAATCATTGTAAAATACTTAATTTTATAATTGAAAAATTAATTTTTCTTTAACGAGCAACGAAGAAATAGTAGATTATATTTTATTCGTTCTTTGATATTTGTATGTAGAGAAGAATTTTGCCCATCTCTGGATTATTTGAGTCGTGGAGTAACGTTTGAAATTCATTCAGTCATGCCCACGAAGAATCTGGAGGCGGTGGACATTCTGGAAGCCCTCGAATCGAAGCTCGCGTACATTCCAGGGGGGCGTGATCCAGAAGGAAGACCTTTGATAGTCGTCAACGTACCGTCAGAATTACAACCCACTACAAAACCACGATTGGAGTGTCTCTTTGCGTACTTCTTGTCAATTTTTAGGTAATCATAAATCACAATGTAATGTTAACAAATCGATATACTTAGACGTAATGTATGAGGTGTTCTCTCGACATCTTTCTTGCATTATGTAATAATAATAGTATTAGTATATTACATATTACGTTATAATAGTATTAGTAATAGTATTAGTAAAGCGATAGTTACATACCATATAACGTTGACCTACAATGTTAACAAAATTAAGTAGAACAAAGAAAGCAAAGAAAAAAAGGAAGAATTGCTATTTAAAAAGTAATTAAGAGATAAGTGATATATTTAAGCAATCAAGTAAAAGTTAATGATTAATTAAAGAATATATGAATACAATATTTAATTCACAATTGTCCCAAGAATCAGAATCCAAGAGAAATCAATTTTTGAATTTTATAACACTATACGAACAGAACATGAACACCTGTGATTGAGATCACTTTATAAATGACAAATGAGTAAATAGGATATTTCAGTCGAGGGGACTCAGTTTTCTGGTGAACAAAGATTTACTATGTTGCGATTAAATTGCTGTAGCGTGTTTGGAAGTGGGTCACGAGAAATGTCTGTTCATTGACAGCGAGGAAACGAAGAGGAACGGGTTAGTCCTGATCGTGGATGCACGAAAGGGTGCGTGGCGTGTTGCGAGGTCGTGCATAAGACTGTCGATGATGCTACTAGGACCATCAGCTGCTTCTGTGGTCGTGGTGCGTCCTGAAGGTTTCTGGGACAAACGGGTCGACAGTTGCACGAGGTCCCATAAAGAAGGAGAGGTTGGTATCCAAGCATCTACTAGATTTAATTCTTTCATTATTATAGAATTCATCAAGGGTTCTCTACAGTGCTGTATTTCATTTGGCAAGGGACATTAAATGATTAAAATATTACAGGATTTAGTTTTTAATATCTTGGTAGACTGTCAAAAATGTGGTCTTCTGGAAACCTAAAGAAATTGAATAGTAAAGAAGTATTATTCTTATCAAACATATTTTTATGAGGGTCAACTTTTTACATTCTGATATAATGAATGCATGAATACGTCGGCAATCGATATTGAATTGAAACGTCTCGATAGATCGTTGTGAGGAGTCGAGTTAGTTAAATCGAGAAATAAGGAAAGAAGCAAAGTGAACGGAGACGAGAAGAAAATAAGAGGTATAAGAAAACGAAAAATCGGGAAGGGCATTTTGGTATAAGCGAATTATTTGTATTTAATCAATCTTTACGAAATATAATTACGAAATATAAGCGAATTATCAGTATTCGATTACTCTTTACGGAAAATAGATGAAAGTCATTGGTACCGGTTCCAGAATAACAAAAATAAAAGAGATTGTGTACATATAAGTGTGAAGTTGAGAGAAGAAATAATTGATTAATGAGATTTTCACGTATGCAGTAATTATTTTTAATATTTCATAACATACAGATCCCCATTTTGAAATTCTTACCCAAATGAAAATTTTGATTAATCTCCTTTTAATTCTCTGAATACGCTCACCTCATTTTTCCATTTATATGAAACACTATGTATGTATAGACGTGTACGGTTTTGCGATCTCGGATGTATCAAGTTACATCATTTACAATTTCATCGCTCAGACCAGTTACTCCAGTTTCACTACATGTCAGCCAAGTTTCTCCACATGTGCGATTTCGTTGAAAAAATGAAATCTATTGCAACCACGTGTCACAGTTCGTATAGCGTAAGTCGTCTGTGTACGTTTTGGTATTCATTTTCTTGTCCTGTTTGTTATTATTCCAGCCGACGTACATTACTCTAGGAAGGCTTCCGCTTCACGTTGATTTTGCTCAACTGCCGTATGAACTGGGTGGCAATAAACTGTACGATCACACGGAGTGGATTCAGAACCGCGTGGTAATTCTTAATTAATTAGTATAATTGTGTAGGGCTTCGTGGATATAACATGGTAATTAAAGCCAATTGTAGAATCTACATATTAATGTATTAATTATTCAATTCAATGCATGTGTAAAGTTACAAGGGTGAAGGTACAGTTCTCCTTAGGTTTTAATTATACAGTAGTCATAAAATTGTAGAAATTGGATGTTATATTTTAAAATAAACATAAATGTAATCTAGAAGATAAGTTGGAAAATAAATAACATTAGGTTTAATAATAGCCTTGATAATTTAGAAAATGTTTATTTTTCTTGATTATTAAGGCTTTTCTACTGTTCTATTTGAAGAGGATTGTCAACGAACAGTTTGATATATATTACATTGAAAAATATACATAATACTTAAATAATAAAACTCTACAATTGACTGTATCTAACATAGTGTAACCATGTAGCAATAAAATTTGTGAATCTAAAGGATCATCAACATTATAATAAATTTTCACTGTTGGTCTCTACTAAATGCAACTTGAAAGAAATTCCTTCCTCATTTTACATCAAGAATTAATTTTTTTTGTACGAGTCATTTCACGTCTAGTTGATCACTATTGATCTTGATACTAGTAATTTTGTTCAAGTAATTAAATGTTGCAATCTATTTGAAAATAAGAGAGATTTAAGTCATCATTTTGCTATTTTCAAGATTGTTAAGAAAATATACACCTTCAAATTCTATACAAAACAATTTTTATCTTCTCTAGTGCTATACAAACGAACATAAATCTGTTCTTCTTTTAATCATCAAGGATCGTCCTGTTGAACTTTTAGTTTTATTGCCAAGGTTAGTCCATTTGAAGAGTCTACATTTATTTCATAACTTCGAAAATAGCAAACCCTCTCTATTTTCCTGGGGCTATAAGATATAACACTTAAATTTCAACAAAATCCCTAACACTAAGTGGAAATTTAATTGATTTAGTACGGAATGATACCTTATATTTTCAATAATACATTCCTTTCATCAATTACATAGAAAGTAGAAGACTATAACAAGGATGCATCGGATCTTATAGCAAGGATGACAGACGTGCACCGAAGACTAACCTGTCTGAACGCGTTTCGGATGTCTGAATCGGACGAGGATTTGGAGTCCTACTGGGAGATGAGCACGAAATTGACGTCTGTTGCCCGACACATTCTTCAGTCAGGTGAGCAAGATCCTTCATAGTCTAATTAACTAAATCTAAGTCCATTCTAATTGTTACTTACATTTTTATATTAATTAGATACTTAACGCCGCATCAACTGCAGTGTGAGCTTATTAGTAACTCAAGAGTAGGTTTACAATTCATTGCATAGTTAGGTTTGCACTTGTTTCTTTTTGTCATGTGTATATTTATTCTTTAACACATTCTCGACCAGTACATATTTCACGTTCCTAATATTACGTTCGAATACTGACGAAAATAATAATATTTTGAAGCTGAACATCGCAAAGTATCGTTAGGGCAAAGATAAAAATTACAAGCTACGTTTTGAAATATCAATGTTGTTGATATGTAGTCTATAAAATAAACAGATTTTCATAATTTTTTCATAACCAGCAATAAAATTTGAAGTGACGTGAATTCACGTCAACAGTCGGGAATGCGTTAATTCGCTAGCACGATTGTAGACATTCAGTTCGTATATTATTTGTTGAATTACGACGAAACCATTACAAATACAGAAAAATGCACTCTCTCCTAATTTGTGGAAAATTGAATGAACCTCATTTTATGTAAGCACCATAACTTCGATACTATCAATCTTTATCGAAATAAAAAGCAGAAATGGCGTCGCCCTCTTTTGTTTACATCGTAGACTCCCAACGTAAAAGATCAAAATTCAAGACATTTTATATACAGTACACAAGTCAGTTTATCTTGCTATATTTTTGTACTTAACTACAGTATTACACGCAGTTTCTCGTAGACTTCGGTTCTGTAGTATCGTCGCCATCTCGAGCGCACAAGAAGTCGTAGCTCAATGGTTATTTCCCGCTCTACCGCGGCACGAGCAATCAAGCTAGTCGCACCGGGAAGATAGACACTTGCAGCTAGATTGTCCGCAAAAATTGAAAAACCGGCTTAACCGGATGTCGAGCATGAGCGTTCCTTGGGAAGCGAGCGCGATCGCGTGTTCGCGGTAACGCGAGGGTGTAAAAACGACGAGCATGGACAATGGGACGTGCATGTCATTTATTATTTCGTCTTCTCACGCGAGACGTCTCGACAGGAGTCTCCTTAGACCTTTCATTTCAAATGTTAGAGTCTGAAGAGATTACCGTTAAAACGTTCCGCTTCGGAATGCGAAAAGACGGATGGAAAACGGTTAACGAATACGTTTTCCAGTTTTGCGGTGAAACGTACGGGAAAACCAATTATAACATAGCAATCAGATACGTCGAAATGGGGTTTAATTTAATTTTATCGCTCTCTATGTTGTTTGCATTAATTGTAATGTTTATAGAAAATAGATTCATTATATATAATTATTGTAGGAGTGCGATATATATGCAATGGTTGCGTGGGAACGTGGTGTGATTTGTTATTTATAATAATCCGGAGTTCAGTTTGGTCGAGACAGTATTAGAAGTCAGGCAATAAATAATTCGTTGTCAAATTGTAATACGTTTTAAAGTCATTAGATTCCTACATTATTAAATGATAATATTGTCTTCATTATTACAATATTCTTATTGCATTGGTAATGAATATTGTTTATTCAGAAGAAAGTTTCTGATTATTCTTTTGTACTCGAGGAACAACTTACAAGTGACAGTCTTTGTTTATCGTAGATTTCGTTGAACCTCGAAGTTTTGTAGCGATATTGGTTCATAAATAGGTTTCTAAGCTGTGAACTGGTACACTTTGAAGTAGTAATAAGATATTTTATTTCCACAACTCTCCAATCATGGTAGAAGAAGGTTTAGTTGTCTAAATTATTAGCTCTCTGTAATGAAACTGTGATTGAGTGCGAAGGGTTAACGCTTTGACTGCAGGAAACTTGTTGCTGGAAATTCGAAGTGGCGCGTAAAAAATATCACCTGTCTTTTCAGGTAGAAATTTAGTGACTTCGATGAGCAGGGATTCCGCGAAGGACGCTTTGGATACTACAAAAGGAATTCACGAACTCATGGACTCTATCGAATTGAAGAAGGTACATTCTGCGCTCAGCGCAAAGAAAACGAAGAAACGCTACTTTCACCTATACAAATTTAGTGTAAAATTTGGTGTTTAGATGGACATTGAAAATTCGTGGTCAGAAATGGAGAGGAACCTGGACACTGCCAGAGTAATCGGTGATCTCGAGAAGGGTGTGTCTCGTGTCACCGACTGGATCCTTGGACCAGCTGACGCAATGCTGAATTCCTGTTGCCAGGTTGGGTTCGATGTTTCCTCCTCGGAAGAGCTACGAAGGCGACACGAGGAATTGGAATTAGAGTGCAGGGTAATGAATAATTAATAAAATTATTGGACACTGAGTAAAATTAATTAACGTGTTATTCAAGGGATCAATACTTAAAATACTTTTAAAGCATATCGTAACGATCATAGAAAATGATATCTCTTCTATAATACAAATATCATTCAAATTCTTGAACTCTGTTTCAACAACTGTGTACTTCAAGATGGTTGAACAAATTCGAGGATATTCGAAAAAAAATATTCGATATTTTTCGAGGATATTCGAAAAAAAATAAAATGTGTTGAACTTTACGCTGTAAAGTAAAGTTCAAATACATCAAGTTTCGTTTAATCACTGTTCATATCAAGGTACTACACAAGAATATATTTTTACCTTTTGTTAGTAAGTTTTGTTTGTAAGTAATTATTCAAGGAAAGCAGTATTTATTATCTTAAGAAATTGAAATGGTTTTTAAAACACTTGAAAAGTCTTGTAAACCTACATTCTGTGAAATGCAGTCTACAGTACAATGACATTCATTTAATTATGGTTTGTAACATGGTGGCACTTAAAAATATACACACTTTGTAACAGGAATGTTCAAGAAATGTAAATAATTGTGTGATTGGTGGCTTAACAGCCAGAGAAAGTAGTAAAGAAAATCAATTGATGCTGTGGGAAAAAAGAAGAAAATATTCTTCTATTACATTCGTTAAAGTCTGTCTTTGTTTCAGGAGACGTATGGTCGATACGCGGAATTGCTCCACAAGATCGACAGTTTGCCAAGCACACGATTGTCAGAAGATCTGAAATCCCAGAGAGACTTCATGGATTTCGTGTGCAGGAGTTTCGCGTCTAGACTCGAGAGGCGACGGAATGTCCTGATCACCTCGCAAAGGTTCTTCAGACTGGTTTCCGAGGTATGTAGTTAACCCTTTCAGACTTGGCGCCCGCAATTGACGACACAAAATACTCATACATTACCGGCACTATCGTTTAGGACAAATGTCCTTATTTGTGCACGTGAAGAAAGACTAGTTTTCCTCAAAAACTACACTATTAGAATTTTTAAACAAATTTTTCCATACTAATTTTATTCAAAGTTAGACCTAAAAATTAAATTACGAGAAAAAAAATAAATCAGATCTAAAAGGGTTAAGATTGTAGGTAGCTAAATTCTATAGCTAATAAGTTTAATAAAATTCTTCAAGTGGGCTGAATGTGGACGAATGAGGCTTGAATATGTCTTCATGATTAAACTATAGTGTAACTAGCATATGCTTGACTCTTTAAAAGAAATACGATTGCGGAAAGTAGTGTCTTGAATATGGAAAAATGAGTGGTGGGAATGACCAGATGATTAGTGAAAGTCATTTGAAACTCTTTACAAGAAATGAGGCTATGGAAAGTATAGTTCAATTAGTTTAATGAAATCCCCAAAGTAGATGAATAAATAGTAGGGATAGGACACAGGGATTAGACTATCGTTTAGGCTACTGTTAAATGAAAAATGACCTACCTTCATATTTTCTGTTTCAGTACTTCGACAAAACGAGCGACGTGTTCGATAAACTGGTGATGGGCAATAGAACTCATGATTTTTCTCAGGCTGCTGGATACCTTCTGAAGCTAGAACAAAGTCAGGCTATTCTTGGTAAACAATCATTCATTAATTTAATTTTCTTCATAACTGTACATTAATTCTTCCCATGGAAATTTACAGTGCCAGAAAAAGATTGACTTTATTTCATTTACCTAATTGAATTTTTTTATTTAAAATTTAATACTACTTCATTTCTTTCCATAGTTTAAACACTACTTTGAAGAAGGTTTTCATTCTCAGAAATTAAACTGATAGCTCTTAAAATTCCTTAAAAATGATCCTACAGTGAGAAGTGTTATAGCGAAAACTGTAAAAGTTGTCCGAAATCATTTTTAAGTATAATCTTCAGGTGTGTCTTCAGGAAGAATCTATCCTTTCGCTGTTTACTTTTATAAAGTTTTGTCGATATAGTAATGTTATCAGTCATTAGTTCATGCGTTAGAAAACCTCACGATATGGTATCTTTGCACCGAGACTCGAAAAATATCAAATCATCATTTTTACTATCTAAGAAAACAACCAATTCATATTGGCATTGGTACAGTTCCTAAGGTTCAAATTTTACCTCGCTTCATGGTCCCCCAAAAGAATTCTAGGTATCTCAGGAAGATAGCACACGATTGATAACGACGCATAACTTTCCAGAAACGTTGGAGTGTGAATTAGTGAAGGAAGGTGAAAAATTGTCGGACATACTGTCGATGCCTGTGAAGGATGCCCTCGGTCGTGACGTGCAAGTCGACTATGGCGAAGACATAGTGAACGTCAGAGATATTTTGGATGCAACGAACGCTAGAAAGAATATCTTCAACGACAGCGTTGAATTGCAGAAGCTGTCTCTGAAACAAATCGCTTTGATATATACCTACGAAAGCGACGCTGAACAGGTGACAGCAAATTACAATATACTATGAATGAAATATGATGAAATATAGTGAAATATGCGCAAAGGTACGAGCTTAAAATAAATTTCGCAGGCTGTCAAGTGGTTAAACGATTTGTACGATGTTCTTTTGAAGAACCACATGGAAATTGGTTGCAACGCGCTTGAAATTCAGTTGCAGAAAGAGGAACATCAATCGTTTCAAGAAACTGCCAAGGTACTGTATCAAGCTGCCTGAATATAAATATAGTTTACAATTATTTCATTGCAATTTGATGCAATAACAGTTCAGCTTTGTATCTATTGGTTATCGGAATTTATTTATAAACAGTAATAGGTAAAGCAGTTTGAAAAGTACAACGTGGTTGTACAGTGTTTAGTTGGGCTTTGTTGAAGAATGATATCAATGAAACGGTAGAATCTAGTTACAATGCAGATAAAACATTAGAATTATCTTTGAAAACTTTTATCCTTATTAAAAAGATAGGGTACACGAAAAAAACGTATGTATTTATACCAGTCGGGTTTTGTTAAATAATGATTTCAATAAAACTGTAGAGTCTAGCTCCTATGCTGACAAAACGTTAGAACTAACTTTAAAACTTTGTATACTTAGAGAGATAGAGTATAGCAATAATATTGAATTAATACGACTTAGGAGAGTGAAACTATTAACTACAAAAGTCCAAGATGCGAGAGTCTCAAGGATATCATGTTACGGTTCGAATTTCCAGGGGACTTACGATTATGGCTGCCAATTAGTGAACGGTGCTCGTGTGCTAAGATTATCCTGCAGGCTACCCCTAGAAAATAACGCGACTCTCTTCTCGAGGCTGCGTCAGGCCTGGAAGCAGCTTCGATCCGTTGGTCAAGAACAATTGACTAGGTTGAGAGTGTGCGCAGTTTTCCACAGGAGCGTCGAAGATGTACGCACGGTGACCATCGTTTGTATAACTTAAACATCAACAATGGAAAAGCAGTCGACCGTCAAATACAATTGTGGCTGACTATTCTTCCAAATACCCGTCAATTGTTTATTTTCAATGAATATTCCATCAACTATCAAATGTACTCATTGTATTGCAGTTGATGCATTGATTTTCATGGAAATCAATATTGTATAGGGTTGCCAGACTTTTTAACATTGGAATAAGCTCTAAAAAAATATACATACAAGCATTTTAATAGAACTAATTGAATTATTAACTGTTATAACTTATAACTTGTAAGAATCCCTGTGTGTGTGTGTGTGTGTGGGGGGGGGGGGGGGGGGTGCGCAGTGAAACTATGAATGTTACACTTAGAATACTTTTATAGTAATTGACATTATTTTTTTTCTTCTAAAATACCATCACTGATATCAAAGATTTCTTTTCATTTCATTTTTTTGTGTTTCTGAGTAGCAATTTTAATAGTAACCCTTATCTTTTCACCTTTTTCAGGATATTAATTTCAAGTCTCTCAATATGACTGTGTGCTTCTCTCACCTTAATGTAGAAGTAACACTCATTTTTAATTTTTATAAAATCGCATTATTTTTATAGCAATATCATATAGTATAAGTTATTGACAATAATGCACAGATGTATCATAGAAAAATCATACTTTCTTCATTTTTTACTCTTAGCCATTTTGACGCGCCCATATTACAATGTTTGCCTGGTGCTGTTCCTTATGCTAATTTCGAGTGTACTCTTTAAAGCACTGCAGCAAGTTATGCGATCTGATCGAGTCAGTGGGCTGCCTGCGTCGATCGTCGAAAGCGGAGGATCTGGCGGCAGAGTCGCGAGCCAGGGCGGAGATAAGGGACATCTTGGGCAATCGGGAGAAGCTTCTTCTGGAAGTGGGACGAATGGTGCGGCTTGGTCGCCTGTTGAGGACCAGACTGAAAGAGCCCCTGTGCCATCAACGGCAAGTACGACGGCGATCGAAGGCGTTTTAGAATAAATTCTTGATATTTTTTCGTTGACCCTTCCGGTGTGAAACATGGATTTTTTACATACATCTCATTTTATTTGTTTTTTCGCGTAACTCGAATGTGAAAACTTCTAGAAAACATGCACCTTTAGAGAAATTCGCATTGGTCTTTTTTCTAATCTTGTCTGTGTTAAATATAATTAGAAAATTTCTGCAAATTATTTATCAGTATCTAAACGACAAAATTATTAAGAAAATTAACGTTTAGTTGATCTGAGACTATGGCAGATTTTTGAGACTGAAGAAAAACCTTAAAGCCTTAAGGTAATTGGGTTGCAATGGAATGTAAAGTGAATTTAATTTGAAATTAATTTAAAAATTAATGAAGGGACACCACATTTGCAACTCAAAGAGCACACGCACTCTTCCGAGCTGAACCCTCTCGCGGTCGCTGAGATACATGTATTCTAATTAATTATTTCAGTAAGTCTGAATTTTACATTTCACGCAAAACAAAAGAGAAAGGTTCACCAAAATCATTTGTAAGGAGTGTGATATCGCAATTTGTGAGGATTGTTTCGCTGAGTATTGCATGTAATATTCGCATTTCTTTTATATGTTTTTATATTTCATTATATTATTACGCAAGTATTCTTACATAAACGAGTGAGTTGCTTTTGTTCTCGACGAAGAATTAATATTTTTACACTTTTATTAGGTATCGGAAAAAGTTCGTGCGGGTTTTCAGAGAAAAATACAAATACTCAAATCTGTTTTAAATTATAGGTTTATTCAACAAAATAATCACCATTTATCGTCAATTTTTTCACTGACTTCGTCAATTTCTTTGCAATAAATATCTGCAGTAATAGTCTGCCACGTGGAAGAAAATCAACGTAAACGATAACCTCGTGTAGTCCACCAAACAGTGATTAGCACCTTCTTCGAATGGAGACTCGGTTTTGGTATGGTTCCTGTTGCACATGACCCCTTCTGAACTCAGTGATGTGATCATCGTACTTTATCATATTCCACCCACTTTTCATCACAAGTTAAAATTCGATCGATAAATGGATATTGCAAATGCTCAGTAGCCGGGAGTATTTGTTCTCTTCCGTTAAACGGTGCGGTATCCATTTGCCCAATCTTTTGTGAAAATTAAGTAAATGAATTCGCTTTTTTTGCAGTAGATTCTTCACATTCGAATACTTGAGCAAGCTCAGAACAACTTTATCTTGGATTTGAATTTACGTACTCGATGAATTTTTCGTCTTTGATGACAGATGGACGCCCTGAACGCGGTTTGTAATCTACCGATTCATTTCCTTCTTTGAACCTTTTAAACCATTTCTGTGCGGTTCTTTCACTAACAGCACCTTCGCCACAAACGCTACAAATGCGTCGTGCTGCATTTGCTGATTCACTGCCAAGTTCAAATTCGTAAAGAATAAAAGCACGAATTTGTACTCTTTCGCTGTCCATGTTTACTGTTCCTATAGTTACACAACAATGAAACAATTGAACTCCACAGAGCATACATACCAATTACTAGTAGTCTAAGAGCTGGCTACGAAAATCACGAATGATAAGGTGCAGTGAAAATTTGTATCTAAAAACACTCCTTACTAGTAACCAAAGCCCATAGCGCTACAGTCAGAAGGCGCTCCTGAGGCTGGAAGCGTGGGCGGGCGGTTAAACATGTTAATTTTTAATCAAAATGAAATCTTTGAATGCAGTCCTGAAATTTTGTGTAGTTATAGTTTTTAATTGTAGAAATCGCGTAAAGCTACTGCCAGAAGTCTAGGTCGGGGCTAAAACGTTGCCAGATGTCGATAAAGTTGTAAACAAATTATTTAAATTTTAATGACAAGGTGCAGTTCTAACAAATTCGTTTTTATATTATTTATCGGTTAAAAAACCGGTATAACAATTGCCAGAAGACAGAATGGTGGCTAAGTACATGAAAAATGATAATATCGTCATAAGTTGGTAAACAACAAAGCAATTCTTTAAAATTTAAATAATAAGGTGCAGTTCTGGCAATGTGTTTTTCTTATTATTTATACTATTAGTTAATTACATATGCAATGACAGAAGGCTAAGGTGCGGGAAATGCATAAAAAAAATAACAATACAAATTATTGAATTCAAGAGTAAATAAATTATGCGATAAATAAAATCGAATCGAGTTTAATGGATCATCAACATTTTATGAAGTATAAATAAATAAGGAGTATACAAAAGAAGAATAAGTATAAATAATTGCATTAATTATAATTTTGTTTCTAATTATTTATAATTATTTATACGATAAAAATTTTCACTGCACCTTATCATTTATAATTTTCGTAGCCGGCTCGTAGACAATGACAATATTATCATTTGTCATGTACTTAGCCACCATTCTGTCTTCTGGCAATTGTTATACCGGTTTTTTAACCGATAAATAATATAAAAACGAATTCGCCAGAACTGCACCTTGTCATTAAAGTTTAAATAATTTGTTTACAACTTTATCGACATCTGGCAACGTTTTAGCCCCGACCTAGACTTCTGGCAGTAGCTTTACGCGATTTCTACAGTTAAAAACTATAACTACACAAAATTTCAGGACTGCATTCAAAGATTTCATTTTGATTAAAAATTAACATGTTTGACCGCCCGCCCACGCTTCCAGCCCCAGGAGCACCTTCTGACTGCAGCGCTATGGGCTTTGTTTACTAGTAAGGAGTGCTTTTAGATACAAATTTTCTCTGCACCTTATCATTCGTGATTTTCGTAGCCAGTTCACCGTGTATAGGGGTGTGCGGGATCCCGGTCGGGACGGGAATTCCTCCCGGGATCGGGATGGAATCCCGAAAATTTCAGAATCCCGAATACATCCGGGATTCCCGTGAATTTCCGGGATCCCAAAACCATTCGAGATTCCCGAGAATTTCGAGATCCCGGAAATGTTCGGGATTCCCGGAATTTCGAAATCCCGTACATTCGGATTGCTGAAATTTTCAAGAATAACAACACTTTCGGAAATCGCAGATATTATTCTATATCCTGTACATTGTCGGGAATCTCGAACATTTTCGAGATCCGGTATATTCTCGGGAATCCCGGATTTTTGCGGGATCTCGTGTATTCTCGGGAATCTCGAATCAACTCGGGATCCCGCATAAACTCGAGAATCCCGAATATTCTCAGGAATCCCGGATATTTTCGGGAATCCCGGACATTTTATGGGAATCCCCCACACCCCTACCAATGACAAAGATCAAGCTTTAAAATGAAACCAAACTCATGTTTTACAGTTGCCAATTACCACACGAAAATCGATATATAGTTACATTTAACGAATAAACCGCACGAACTTTTTCCGGTACGTAATAGTAAGAGTCTTCTGGAAGGCGTTATCAAAGTGATTTTCCTAGCTCATGATATCCCCTCAGAAGGGACATCCTGCCAACTACTCGTCGATCTAGTTATTTACCAGAAAGACCACGCCAAGCGTCGATAAATCGCACCGTCGACTTTTACCGTGCGGCCAAACGTTTGGCATTGTTCCCTCCTCGAGTTTCCGCGCTTTCTCGATCGTCCTCTTCGTCCTTCGATTTTTCACGTCGGAAATACGCGCAACCAGTTACGATCGAGTCTCGAGCGATAAATCGCAGCGTAATTCGGTCATCGTCCGCGCCCCGAGCAAATCGAAGAGGGCAGGAGTTATAAACCCGAGCGAGACTCGAATGGAGCTGGTAATAAGAGGCGAGGGGGGCAAGGTACGTCGACGAGGCACCTCCGTTTTTAACGGAGGCGGTGTTGTCAGTCCATGGCTGCACGTCGACGAGATACCTACACCTTGATATCGGTGCAATGTAAGTCGAACGTTTCGAAACACGATAAGTGGTCTCTGCTCTCGTTCGATCGCTCTTCCCAGAAACGCGCGCGCTTGGAGCCAAATACCGATTATTCGCAAACGGGGTTTAAGTACGCGTTCACGGGACGTCAATGTTCAGGCATGGTAAAGTTGAATGTGGAAGATTCACTCTGATTTAGAAAAAGTCGGAGTCGCTGATATTAGCGTGCCATAGGCAATGTCACAGGATACACGTTATATATATATATTCTTTTCTAAGTAAACGTGGGGATTTGAAAAATCTTGTGCTTCGAAGTTCAGGAAACGTATGGTAGGAGGGTCATTTCAGTTGGGGGTTTACGTTTGTTGATAATAATTCGCGATACCGATACTTCGGGCCGGTTGAGATGGTGTGACCTTCTAGGCGAGGTGCTAGGTCATAGTGCATCTCTTTGAAGAAGTATTGTTCTAAGTACGAGGGACAGCTTATAACTTAAATCGGTTATTAAGTTTCCGTACACCGTATTCCATACACTTTGGTTATTAGAAATATCCACAAAAAAGTAATACTGAAATTAATTTAACATGATGCGGATGCTATGGATTAATGTGTGTTATTTTACTTAGTCCTGTAACAGTTGTGAAAATCAATAGTACTATTCCGTACATTTTAATAACTAGAAATATTTTACGAAACGTGGTGACAGAATAAATGTAACATAGGTCGATACGTGTTGTTCTAATTTAGTCATGGAACATTAGTGCTTGGAATTTGTAACATCTATTGCGACAAAAGTAACGTGGACAAGTCTCCGTACTAATTTTATTTCAAAATTCTTCTCAACGCGTTAATTACCGGCTTACTTAGAAAGTCTTCAATTTAGAAGATTTTCTACATAAGCGTATATTACTCGAGGATGACATTAACTTGGACAAGAGATATATTGAAAGTTTTATCAAATCGAGCATTTTAAACAGACAACCAACAACACAATTAGTAAGGTTCCAAGTAGCCAAATACTGGACTTAAAAAATCTATAAATAGGCTTTCTATAAGTGAAGTACAATTACCCAAGCTATCACGATCGAACGTCGATCGAATCGTGCAGCTTTTCCAGTGTTTCCTATCGTTTAAAATTTCTCTCGCGACCTAATCGTCTGGACCAGGCGATGAAATGCATCATTTGCCTAGGTTTCACGTTCAGCCACGTGTTGGTGCGAGAAATATGGGTCAGTCGCGTCTTCAACTCGTTGACGAGTGCGCCACAGTTTGTATTCATAGAGACAGGCGTCCCATTTTCACCCACACGAGGACGGTCAGGGCCACTGAAAATTGTTGCATACGGATTCTTCACGTCGGAAGATCTTCTAGATCGTTGCTAGTTTATCTAACATCTGCGCGAAACGGTACCACGGGATTTTAAATCTGGAAAATGCAATTAATCCTGGCGTCGGTCCAACGCAAGCAGACCGCGTTTCAAGCATTATCGCTGAGCTTACTTTCTATTTTTTGACAGACTGCATCATTTGTTTAAAATTCTTATCATTCGGGAGAAGAATTCCATGTTGTTCCCGACTGCTCTTTGTTAATACGCAGCGGTGTTCGTGGCTTGGATCATGCAGCTTTATTAATCCGTTGGCTGGGATCCACCGGATGAACATACATATAAATGAACTTTAAATCCCATCCACGACATAACGCATTCGATCACCTAGTTCTCACTTGGAATTTTCTTATTCGTAAAACATCGTGTTGCTTCACAAATTTTGTTATATTTTTGGGCGATACATTTACTTTCGTTTGAGATTAGATCGTCTAAGCAGTAGAATTTCAATCTTAGGAATTAATTCCAAAGAAACGAATGCAAGTCCTGATTGTTCCTTCTGCCTAATGTCTGTATACATCTAAAAGGCTAAGAAAACCTTTTTTAGCTATACTTTAGTGTGTTCAAAATGTCACTGCATATGGCTGATTAATGGGCTATTTTATCAGTAATTTCTGCAAATGATTCTTCTAGAAATTAAGGATTGAAACAAAATTATTAAAATATGACTATAAAACGGTGAAGTTAATTTTTCATTGAAAAATAGGCATACATTTATTTTTTTTCTGAGAGAATACAATTGTTAAAAACTGTTTCATACACCGTGTAATATGAAATTTCGAGTTTCTAGAATAACTATCTCCAAGGAAATTTCGATATCTATATTTTTAAATAAATAACATATTTTTGTAGCTTCATGACTGAACTATTATATGTAGTAGGATCACTGTAGGATGAAATTGATTATAGGAGGTAGTCCAAAAAGGACTTCAACACTATATTTTTTAATAAAATACAAATAGTATTAAATGCATCTATTTTCTTTTTATTTCAAGTGTAAGATAACTCTGATATTCATACGTTGTTATTAAATAACAAAATCAAAAAATCATTTATTTATTAATCATGAAGTCTTGCGTTCTTACAATAAGTTCTCCCGCAGAGTTTCTTTTCTTAATAACGACTGACGTACTTTCTTTCACGTGATATTTTCCATTGATGCGTTTGGAATCTTTCAATTAGTGTCGAGCACATCTCATTTCATTTTTCTTTTTTATTACGATACGCACACCATTTTCGATTCAGGCGACGATTTCACAGAGATGCCGAAGTTATTTTTGATAATGGAAACTGCAGCAGTGACCGGATGGAATTTTATTATGTGCAGTAAAGATTGAAAATGCCGGTTAAACGTGGTGCTCTGCAGATTCGGTGGCTCTCGGTTCACCGAAATTAGAACGCCGCCCCACATTGGAGGCACCATCTGGTCCGTGACGAGGCGTCGCGGCGCTGTCACTGTCGATTACGTAACACTTTTGAAATTTGACGTTTTCTTAACCGGCTCGGCTTAACTTGATCGACAGAAACGGATCGATGATATGACGTTACCTCTCGTATTCCAAAAGTTATAATATATAAAAATTACTTGAAAATTGCTGTGCACACTGGTTAGTATTCTTGATCCTTTCATCACTCACGGTATCGTTTTCGAATCTTTAAATGTAAATGCACTCTGGATAGGTAATGATACAATATATAATAAAACCTGAAGCTTAAGCTACATATCACAGATGTCACACATACATAGGAGCATGAATATAGTGATTTCTATCTAGTGTTACTTGGGTTTTGAAGATTTGACTAACATAAGTTATAAACGATTGAAGAAACACCTGAATGGTTGCTGTTAACATGGAGTTTCAATTTAGTTTAATTTACAAATTACAGTATTTATTACATTTTATAAGACATTCACCTTTTTGCTCTTGAGAAGCATGCAATATTAATTTAAATCCACTTTATCAAATATTAAATATGTGACGTCTTAATAATGTGAAGGTTAACTATCATTTTGCTAGGCTACATCAAAGCGTTCATCGTCGTGAATTTTACAAGTTAACAGTATGTTTGCTCCTTCCGATATACTCTGCTCCTTCTTCACATAGTAGTCACAACAGTATTATCAAAGAAATTTAAATAATTCCAAATAACTTTCAAAACAACAACAAAATTGAATGAATACCTAAAATACTACTACTACTACTACTACTACTACTACTACTACTACTACTACTACTACTACTACCACCACCACGTATCAACATCTCCCAAAACATCCACTCATTTCTCCAGAAAAGGATGTAACATTGTCTCAAGTCATCTCTACCCAACATGAAAGATCCATCAGCTTAATACCCGAAACGTTAGCATCCTTCCCAGAGTACGCGAACCTCTATCTAGAAAGGCTCTATTAATAGACGCAAGCCAACGACGGAAATTTATTTTTCTAGAATGTCTGAAGCCGAGGATGCCTCGGGTAAAGTCAGTAACTTGACAGCGGTGGAGGCGATCTCGGCGAGATTGGCGGAAGTAACGCGGCTCGCCGAGAAGCTAGACGCCAGGCTCTGCGAGGCGGGAGCCAGGACTCGACCAGTTCCCATGTCATCATCCGCGATGTCCTCCACATCGTCCTTGTTCTCCTCGTCGAGCGTCGTTACAGCGACAACGACTGCTCCCAGCCACTGCCAACCGATTTCCGCCGCGATTACGACGACAGGAGTCACCAACGGGTCGGTGATACCATTGATAAGCTCGTCGACGACCACGGTCCAACTTCAGCCTAAATCCATCTCCACGATTCTGTCTGCGCCGGTATCCACGACCAAGGGCGCTGGAACCGCGAGTTTTTCGTCAGTGGCAGGTGTGGCGACATCGACGCCATCGGTATCTGCGGACGAAACGATTTCTACGAGCACTGTCGTTGAGAGAATTCTATCTCCAGTGTTGGAGGCTTCCATAGGGCTCGGGGTGGATGCTGCGAAGAATGCTTGTGGAGGGGACAGCGAAACTCGCGATGGTTCCAGTTCTGAGCGAATCTTCATTGAAGAGGGTGACAGACAGGAAGAAGACGTTATGGAGGTACGTTGATTATTTGTTGAGCGAGTGTTCTGAGTGTGCAAGATTTTATAATTAATCTCTTGAGGGACGAATTTTAAATGGGTTTTGTTTTGCTGGAATTTTTTATCTGTAAATTGATTGTGATCTGTCTCATTTTTAACCGACTTCGAAAAGGAGGAAGTTACTCAATTCGACATGTATATTTTTTTGTTTCATATTGTATATTTTTTAATTCTAAAAGGTATCCTGTTCGTGAATAATTTTTTCATAAATGCAAACGTGTATATATATGTGAATGTGTCTCAAGAAGTCAAGAAATAAATGATTTGTCATCATTAATTTAACGAATATTACATTAAAAGAATTATTAATCAAGAATACATTTAGAAGTATTTTATTTATTTAGACATGTTTTGACTACAAGGTTGTGTAGTCCTCTTCAATACTAAGAAAGTATTCAATTACTTAATTCAAACTTCGTTCTTATCAATGAATATGAATTCAAATTTTCAAAAATTCCACAGTTTTCCTGTGTAAATTCTCTTCATTTTCCCTTAGACATTAAAATCTGAGAAGACCAATATTCCAGTTACTATCGATTCTATCGAAAATTTGTATTATATAAAAAAATTTGTAAATTCCATTTGTAACAACTTCAGTTATATACATTTTGGTTGTTGAAGCTTCGATAAGTGAGATATAATCCATTTTACCGTAGGATCTACGCGATTCTCTCTGGGCAAGGTTACTATGATTATTTATTTCTCCCATCGCAGGTGATGGTAAGGTCATGCGACAACAGCGTCGGGGACGACTCAAACATCGAGGGCTACGTGACCGCTACCGAGTGCTCGACCCCGACAGGACGTTCCAGAAGCGCGTCTTTTGTTACTTCTCCAGAATGCGAAGACCTTTCTGCTCCAGCGACCGTAACGTCCCCGCGCGATGCTTGGTACGAAACAGAGTAACAGACGCTACTCGTTAGCTCACGATTTTACGAATACGACGAATGATCCTAATAATAATCTCGTTTCTTTCGCGGTTCTTTGATCTGCGAAGGTGGAACACCGAGGATCCTAAATTTATCGCCACGAGCGCAGCGGTGTCCTCATCTGTAATTAAACAAGAAGATGCCTCGAAGGTTCCAGGAATAGCGGAAAAAACTGTACTGATAGAGGTCTCGAAGCCGGAAGTTTGCAAGATGAACGGGGAAAAGGAAATTGAGAAAACTGTGTCTGTCGAGAAGAGGGTAGAGGTACGCAGGAAATTGAAACTTATTTAAATAACTATTTGGAGTAATGATTAAGAAACGGACAACTCTTTCTTCTTTCTTTGACGAAAGGAATGTTCTCCAATTCAATGAAAAATATTATATTGTATTCCTATGTGAATTTTAATAATTACAATAATTGTGGTCAATATACAATCATATTAATTGACTTATGTTCAGTGTAAATTAACACAGGGAAAATTATGGATTGAGAGTCCATATAGACTAAGAATATAATTCTTTCATGTTTGAAACATTGAATGTTTCATAATAATAAAGAATATTTTAAATGGTCTTAACCGCAGTGTCTCTCCTAGGATGTGTTGTGTTTAATTAATTATAGACCATTTGCAATATTTGTATTACACGTCAAGTATGTGTATCTCCCATTTAAAAAATTACATTGTAAGACACAGAGTGCTTGAAGTGATTAAATAAAAATAGGAATTATTAAAAATATAGTGGAAACGTCTCTGTTTCAAAATAAATCTTATACTATACATTCATACTTTTTGGTGCAGGAAAAATCTGGAAAAATCGTGAAGGAAGTGACGGAAACCACGACTCTGCGTGTATCGCACGACACTCGATTCGGGGTCACATCTTACAAGGTGGTATCCAACACTCTTCAGGATCATCGTGAGAACGTCGACATTAAAGAAATGAAGGATATCGAACGCGTTGTGTCGTCGGATGCCCATAGAAAAACGAACGGAGTACATCACGAAACAGAACCCAGCTCGAAAAGTAAGTCTGGTTCATCTGTGTTCATTTTAATTGAACCCACTCGCGGAATTTAAATTTACGCGATTCTAATTTTACAATTTATTCTTGATGCCAGAAACGCTTCTTGCACGTTTTCTTTAAAAATATTTTGTTGAAGAAGAATAATTCTATTTTTTGTATGTTGAGATGCAATGTTTCATTCAAACTTGCAATGTTTAACAGCTGAGTCGTACAGTCGCAGGGATGAGCTTTCGACAAAAACCGACGATACTGAACGCATGATAAAGTTTACGAAGATTTGCGAGCTGAAGGAAGAAGAGAAACCACGCGTAGAAGAGAAATCCATGGATGCTTCGAAGGATATGACGTTATCCTTGAAGGAGTATACGCGCCACCACGAGGACAGCGGGATCGAAATGTCACCCACGAAGAAGGAGGACAGTATAGAAGGGCAAGATTTCCTCGAAAGAGCGAGGAAGGTGAGTTCGATCAGGGTTTCCTCGATGAATGGCGAAAGAAACGAGTGTTGCTGTAGCTGCAATCGCAACCATGAAGCAGCATGCTTCAACGGTTACCAACCAGGCGTCAATGAAAATCGACGTCGTTTGCCGCTGCCCAATGCAAGCTAGCTGTTTCGTCTGTGTGATCGATGTGCATTTACCAGAGATGGGAAGGGTAAAATTTTGTTTAGAATGATAAATGATAGGTGGAAACAAACGCTTATTGCATTAAAGGGTTGTTAAAGTGAACTTTCCTTTATTTAACACGTTGATCGCTACGTCACCCAAATATGGATAACAGTGCTTTTCACTGAATAAGAATTCTGAATGTTCAGTATCGAATAAAATAAATTTGAATGAAATTCTTGATTTTCGATGAAGTTACAAAAATAAATGGCACGATAAATGTTTGGATATGTAGTCTCTAATAGTCTCTAAACAAAATTTGATCTCAGTAGAATCTTTCAAGATTAGTCTGGCAGTCAACGTGTTAATTTGAAATATAATTCTGTAATTTAATGGTAAATTATTATAAGTCGTGGGATAAGCATATTATGTTACATAATTAATATTATATGTTCAACATTTAAACTGAAAGTAGTTTGAATTTGGGACACAGAATTTCATTTGGTAAAGATGTCATTAATAAATGTTATCTTTTTTATTGATATGTAGAACACTAAATGTTCAAAAAGACTTGATATGCTTGGTTTGCCTCGAGGGTACAGAATTTACTTATGTAATTTAGATTGCAATTTTCATTGAACAAGTGACGAATTAAAAGTTGTTTATCTTCTATTCGTAAATTACATTTTTCGTTCATATGTGTGCTTAGCTAAGGGTGCTATGTAGATTGAAAGATGACCATCATGTAAATATGTAACATAACTAAACAGTTTTTCATTAATTTACACCTATTCTTTTAGTTCTTGCATATATTAGTTTCTTAATTGATAAGTCAATTGTATAGATTTGCTTCATTTGTTTCATTGATTGTAAAAGATTGAATCCTTATTTTTTCAACGGACACATTGTAAGGATGGAAATATAGAAGCACAACGTTTGCAACCTTTTATTCGTTATTTGAAAGTTTCGATTAGTTAAGAATTGTGCCCATCTCTGGCATTTATGCTTTAAGTCAGACATGCCAACCACGTGAGTTTGACGTGCCTGCTTTAGGTTAATAATTGAATGTTTTCTCTATATGTTCAACCTGGCGTTGATAATACTGATGAAGATCAATGAATGACACAATCATTGGATGATTTACGACAAGAGATATACAATTTACACAATAACAAAAAATATTAAGTCAAATAGAATTAATGCACTAGTTCCAATAATGCAGTAGTTATTGTATATGCTCTGAATCAAGTTTGAAATATCATTTACAACCAAGAAACATTAACTCATTCGATAAATATTTATAATCTGCAACATTCATGTGTGCCGGGTTGAACTCGTCGTTGCATCAACGACGCAAAGCATGGTAAGGATAACAAACCGATAAACGTAAACCTTACTCCTCATCCTAATAAACCAAACTCAGTAAGTGATTAAATAAATTAATAAAACAGTGTTTTCGATTTAAGTTGTGTAATGTGTTGTAACAAATTTGATGTATGCATGGCTTGCTCGTTACGTTTGTAAATAAAGTGTTTTAGTGGAAGAAACTCGTCGAGATCTGACTGATAAGGGAAGTCCACGATTTCAATTAGAGCGTCTCTATAACTACATTTATGATTGTAGTTATAATTAAATTATAACAACTCAACTATTATAGTTATCTTGTGTTGTTATATTTAATTGCAATTATAATTAAATTATAAAGAAAGTTACTTATACCTATGCCTTGTTTATTCAAGAAATTTTTACAATTATTGAAAGAAACTGCAGCTGTTGTCGAAAATATTTTGAAATACAACTTTTAACGTTTACTAAGCTATTTTATTCTAATTAAATTTGTTAGAAAGTTGTTAAAAGTACGAATAAAAAATCGTTATAGGACAACGATTTAAAACCGATAGTTTTGGTAGGCAATTAAATTATCTATCTTTATGATCCTTCATGAGATTATAATAATTTATGTAATTTGTAATGGATACCGTGAATGGTGTACTAGATTCAAGGATTTTCTTATTTAAATGTAGGATTTATTTAACAAGGCAATACGATACTAATATAAGTACACTATTTCGTTTGCAGTTACAGTTGACGACTGATCAATTCTTATTCCTACAGATAATTATTCTTCACAATTATACAATACAGATATCAATTTTAATTAACAGTTGATAATCAATTCTCAGTTATCAATTGTCACATTTTGTTCAACATTTGATCTCTCATTCAAGCAAACCAATATACACTACTTCATTCGTACTTTGCCTTCTATGCCTATAGTTTTTTGAGACCAGCGTTTCTTTTATTTCATGTTCCACAATCAATTTCTATCGATCGTTTCTTGCAATTCGATTAATCCCACGTTTCATTCATAAAGCGTTCATTCGGATTTATAATTCTCATTATCAATCACACTCGAGTGTCGTGAGTAGTCGTCGGTTTTCGCGGTAATTTATCGGGCGCGCTCGTGAGCTTTCGACGAGGGTCGACTGTAGCCGAATGGCTTCGGCGGCATTCGAAATGGTTCGAGGCTCACTAAGCCCGAACCCGGCTCAGTCTCGGGCCGGTTTGCGTCTGCGACTGATCGGTTGGTGATTTAACGCGATTGTGACATGTGTCACGCGAGTGTTGCTGCTGCTGCGGTTGTCACTGCTTGAACGTGGATTGATTTAGGTGATTGTCTGATGATAATCGAATTGATTACTACAGATGATACGTAAAATACTCTTAGAAATTCGTTATCACGTTATTCTACATTATTTTAATACATCTCGACGAATCGAGTAGTGATTTTACATAAAAATAGCAATTGAGAATTAGTGTAACGAAGTTCACTTTTAATAGACTCGAGTAAACAAGAGGCTAATATTTTCAGACGTTTACAATTTCGTTAAATAAAAGAACCAAGGGTGAATTTTTCTGTTTTCCATCCACATAAATTTTGAATGAATTAACAAAGGTGGATTAAATTTTATTTGAATAGTAACAAAAAGTTTGATTCCATCAAACAGTGCTTCGATTAAATAATCACTCCTTCATGGTGAAATATGAAACATAATTTCATTTAACGATAGAATTTCTAATTTTCATTCAACTAATCACCACGTATAAGACGATTTTAATCTGTCCTTCGTTACTCGAAACTTGTATTGGAATTAAGAATTCTGCATACTTGTGTACAAAGAGCCGTTTCCAATTTGTCGCGTTTTTCTCTCGACCTCAATTTCGTCTTGTCCTTGGGTGTACTGTTCGCAGGCTCATCTGATCCCTCCCCTTGAAAACGGTATAAAAAAAAGAATCGAGCGAAAACTATCACCATCGCGAAAAAGAAAACGCCTCGAGACGAAAGCTCGACAAGGTTACCGGTACCGCTTGGTTTTCCCGCATTCAATTAAAGACGAAAAACGAAACGTATCAATGCACGCGTATTAAAACACGCGAGTGTTGTCCGTTGATCGAACAGTTTCTACCAGCAGACCTGTCAGCTACCAGATAACATGTAATTAGTCTGACATAATACGACTGATAATACTGTATATTGTTCCACTACAATGACCATCGTACGAACACACGGTTCCGAAGCGTGGAACTCGCGTGTCGTGTGCCAGAGTTGGGCTGATGATTAATTTCAGATTACTTTTCTAATAGTCACTTAACAGTTGCCAAATTAATATGTAATCATTAGTTTACGGATTCTTGCATTTATGGTATATGTTATTTTTGCAAACGTGTGCAGAATGTGTTGAAAATATAAAGGATTTGTTAAGAGAGACTTTAAAATTTTGTTCTTTAATAAAATACAGATGGTATGGAATATATTTAATTTTTTTAATGTGAATGGAAGTACACTCCATCACAATTAAACGTTATAGATCCTGTAACTTCAGTGTTCACACGGAATATTTTGTTATTAATGAAGAACACTTTAAAGTTCTTTTTTGGAAAGACCTTTATTACATAAATTAATGCAATAACTGATAAATCTTTGTGTTAGCTTACTGTTTTGTTTTTGTCAATGAAGACATCGTCTCAAACGAGTGTTGTTGACATTTTAGTATAATAAAATTAATATAGCACTCAAATTATGCGAGAATCATAAATGTGGAAATGTTCAATTTTGAAGTAAAAACTTCTATGAAACTGTTGAATATTCATGAATGATACTAAAACAATGAATCTGTAAGTAAAATTACGAAAGCGATTTCAAGCTAAATTCATGAACATGGATTATTGTCCATCTTAGCAATATCAGAATTATTCCACATTCATCGTTTTAGTATAAGAGAGACATGAACTAGTGTTCATGATCTGGGTATACGTATCCTAGGTTTTTCATGCCGTGATCTACATTTATAAATCAGTAACAAAAAAGTATCCTGTAACCTTTCAAAGTAGTCTATCTGATTATACATTAATCGTGATTATGATAGTGTTAGTTGCAGCAGCTTTTCAAGTTTGAGAAAAAGAGCAACTCATATAGGATCGTAACGTAGATGTAGTTGTTGATTCTTTTCCTGTCTATTTAACTGTCAACCACTAACACTATTATCGAGGAAACACAGGTGCTTTCATTTATTAATCATGGCTACTAATTATTAGGCTCTGAATTTTATACATTTGTTGTACACACATGAAAAGTGTATTCTAAATACAAACAAAAAGTATGCACTAACACTAAGAGAAATATTAATATGTTTACATTAATTTATCAAATATACTCTGTATATGTTTTGTATATGTGCTAAACGTACATGAATTGTATATACTCGTGTAGAATAAAATATCAATATAACTCAATTAATTTATAAAATATATTCTGCACATGTTTTGTATAAGTGCTCTATATTAGTATAACTCTTGATCTCTTTATTCAAGTGATTACTAATTGCAATGAAACTGTCTACCTATACGAAACAAAATATTAATATTATTCAATTAGTTTATAAAATACATTCTGCATACGTCTTGTGCGTAGATTTCATATTATCATATTTCATACATAAATACATAAAATTCGCAGTCTAATCGCATTAAAAGATTAGATTCAACCCAACACTGGCGCATAGACGGTCCTTGATTTTGGTGGACTGTACACGCGCGGCCTCCCTCGATTTTTCACGTTTTTTTTCTCCTTTTTCCACAAGATCGTCTCCGATCGTGGGTCGCGGTGTGGTGAACCTCTCGTTCGGAGAACGCCACCAGTCAGTCCGGTTTTGTCCTCCCATTCGTTCGTCCGTGTCGGTGACGTCACCTTACAAAGATATCTATAAAGTATAAGTGCATGGAGATTAGCGGCATTAGGTGCAAATGAATCTCACAACCATATTACGATTTTAAATAAAAATTCAGAAAAAATTCCACTTTTTCTAGCTTTAGTCTCCTCAGCCTACTGGAGAAAGAATTTGTACAACAGTTTTTTTCATAATCCATTTGAAAATTTGAACAGATCTCTATATTCTTGAATGAAAGAGTTTCGAAAATATTGAAATCGATGCTTACGAATTGAAAAATCAAATTAAGAATGCAGATGGTTGGTAAGGGATTATGGTTTGGAATAGTATACGTTTCGACTTATGATTCGAGTAAACTATGTATGAGTGCTCTGGATCATAAAGGGTTTTCTAAAAGGGGCCTTAGAATTTTTTTTTATTAAAACAAATGGCGTAGAATATATCTGATTGTTACACTGATTTCTAGATAATTAAATGTGAAAGTTGGTATCATTCAAGTGTATTTCACAAATATTAAAGCCTTTTTATGAAAACCTTTTATTTTCGTATTTCAAAGAAGACCTGAACTATAAGACGAAACGTGTATTATTGTAATTAATAATGCTTGGACTGACCACTAGTTAATTAAACCACATCCTGTCCTTGTATCGCAGAGATTATTGCTCGATTTCTTCTCTTTTCATGTTCAATTGATCATAAGACTCGTGCGATCGTTTGTCAGAGTGATTCGTTGTTTCGACCAATGAAACAAGTTCAAAGTTGATAATCACGACGTTTACTTGTTTTAAAACAATGTAATCCAAACTGGAACGATAAGGCAGTACATTCATTTGGACTGCATCTGAAATTAATGACTCGATAGTCAATGATGATTTACTGGCTCTGAGTCAATTTCGTAGATAATTACTTGATGACATAAATCAAATTTAATAACAAAATACAGTAGTCTGTTACAGGCATCAATGTACATAAATGTACTTAAATATTTATTATCTTTAATAAAATTATGCAGAGCATACAATTAATCTACATCATTCAGTACAATTAATGAAGCAAAATGAAGTTCTTTGTAGACATGAAAATATTCTAAGAAGAGCACTTGATATTTGATAACCTACGTCATTGTGAATGATACCATATACTTCGTGTTGAATGCTTGAGACATTAACCCAGTTTCTTTCATATTATTTCAATTGTTTAGGCGTAGCCCTCATTTTCCATGTATTTACTTAATCCTTCAATTTTTTATATCGTTATATATATTAAGAATGTTCTCGTTAAAAATCAAAACGATTATAAAACAAAAGAAGTCAGTTACCACGAATAAAACAGAGCGATGGTCAATTTGTAATTGTGAGGAATTCATTTCTGTGCTTTACCGTTGCACGAGAAATAACTTGATAGTTATGAAGGTGACATTAAGACGAATTCACCCTGTGCTACATTATGCCATACTCATAATGTTTATGTATGTTTGTTTTCGTCTAAATGCGACGCGTCGACGTTATCGTCGAAATACGTAATCCAAATATCATGGTACCTGGTTCACGACGATTATTTAATTCAACGTCATATTAAAGTTATAATATAGCAGGTCGTTGAATTCGTTTCGATGTCACTTATAAAACAATCGAGTTCAAAATACATGGTTCCAATAAATCCATTTCAATTTCATTCTTTGCTAATTAAATACTGATTGAGTTTTATTTGAAACATTTCTTCGTCAGATTTCGAAACTACCTGAAAATCATGGACTGATTTGTGATGCACCCTGTATATCATAGCTTGGTATTCTTCCTATTTTCATGTTTTCTTCGTTGTTCGAAATTTCCATCCAGATGAGAATTTTGTCCCACTTTTACGTCAGGTCCGATGCAACGAATGATCGAGTAGAGATCAATAGAATTATCCACGCCGCGTAACAGCTCGCTCGAGTAGTTTGCACGGCAACGATTCGTCGTCGTCGCGTCCGCGGAATTCGCACGGAGCGGATCTTTGGCGAATCGCCAAAAATAACGTTAATCAGTAAAGACGGCGTTGGTAACTGGAGAGCATAACTTCCACTTCGCGCTGTCTTGCGAGGAAGAGGGAACGATAGCGAGCATCAATTTTACCCACAATGTTTCCGCGTGATAGCTCGATTTCTCACTGCTGAGGCACGCGGGGAACGTTGATCAACGTCGAAATTAATTCACCGCGGATAAAAGCGAACCATTAAACCTTCGTTTGTTCACTGTGCTTCCGAGTGGTCGAATTTTTGGTGAGACGCCAATTAAATTCCGTATTTCACTAGCATTTCGAGTCGGGTTCCATGTTTTCCGAGAAACATGCTGATTTTTGTGATATTTTTTTATCATATTTTTAACGGTATTTCTGCCAATTTTCGTAAACAAATGTTATTCTAGGTAGGAAGTGTAATCTTCAGCGTATCATGGTAGGGGTCATGAGGGTGGATTTCTTTGATCTTAATATTCAGAATTCAGTAAAACTCGAGTATTTTTATCAACAAAGCAGTTGGGAGATTTCTTTGAAAACAGTCAGCTTTTTAAAAAATTATCTACAGTTGTAATTTACATCTTTTTCTTAAAAGAACTAAGAGAGAAATAATATTAATAAGTTTCAAAGACGATTCCAAAAATTGCTTAAAATTTCTATGTTATAGAAAACAATTTTTGGAAAGTGGAAGGATTAATTTGATCGATTTTGAGGGCATCTTCTCAAAATCTCAAACTTGAAGGAAACGCAATAATCTAAAATCGAGTTTCTAAGAGAGTTTCAAAAACGACGTTCGTCGTTTACGTCAGACAAATCGTTTTTTAAATAGAGGTTGACGGAATGGCAATGATTTATCGAAAGATTTGCAGGAGGAGTTGCGTAACAGATAATTTCAGAATTTGTATACAGCGTCCGTAGTCAATCTTAAAATATTACGGTTAGTCCGAAAATATAAAGAAAAAAACAACATTAATTTTTGTGAAACAATTTTAGAAAAGCAGAGATTTATTGTGACATTATCACTTTTATCTTCTGGTGACTTATACAGACGCTCAAAATATTTTTTTGTAGTGTCAAAGAATTTTAAAAGAGCTTGGTAATTCTATTTCATTGTTGATTTATTACACACAAGTTGATACTTCATTTAATTATATAATGTTTATTTCGAAGATGGGTTGGAACATATAAGTCGAAATGTAATTAAATACTTTTAATAAACATATTTTAAATTTCATTAATGATTTCTTTTCATTACTTTTTCTACATTTATAATACATTTTTAAAATACATTATTCAGTCAAAAATTCGTATCATAAAAATATTACAAAAAGAAATACATATAAAAATAAAAACACAAGTTGAAACAAAATTTGAAACCAATGAAAGTTTACCACTTTACTCCATCTCTGGATAAAGCTCATTGTTCGTCGATAGAAAATATTAGTCTCTTCCAAATGTAGTTATTGCTCATGAACAAGAATAGCAGCGAGTATTGAGCCACGAGTCTAATGATTCGAGGCGCGATCGCTAAATCGATCCACGGTGATAGCTCGAACGATTCTGTTTTCCCGCGAAAGAGGAGAAACACGAGAATGGTGGACGGGCACGATTCGATGGAAACGATGGAGAATGGCGAGGGACCTCCTGAGAAGGAATCACGAACAGTGGTGGTGTGCAACGAGAATGCACCGCAACAAACCACCACTCCGACGACCACCATAAGCACCATAGCCGTGCAGAGCGGTGAAACGCGCCTGGTGATCGCTCTACTTCAAGTAAGAAGCATCGTACCTTATCGTAGACGCCTAATGTCTTATTAATCTCCCTGTGCTTAGACCAGAGTTTCTCAAACCTCATCTTCCCTTAGTAACCATCGGCAAAGAACAGTTTCTAGACCCACAGAGTTATATAATTACAATATATTTTACACTTTTTAAACTTTTTCTATGTAATGTCAAGAATGTACTTGAAACTATATGATAATAATTCGTTTTATTATGGGTAATTATTTCTTCATTGAAGTATATACGTAATATTTTCATATAATTTTATTTTCATTTATTGACAGTAATTACATACAGTCAATTTTTCATTAAAGCATGAAAGATTTATTATCGTATGTTATTATGTCTCATAAATAGATAAATGTTCAATTACTACATTTTATTTTATTAACAAATGCATTACAATGTTTATTTTAGTTTCATGACTGATGTTCATTAAATTTTTGTCATTTAAATTATTTTAAAAGTAGATTTCGTTAAAAGTCTTCAATACACGTGTAAACACGTGTCGATACGAGTTATCTCGATCGTCCAACTCATCCTCTGAATTTGCAGCTTGTCAGTAAGACCCCACTTTTCTCTGTTCAACGTCGATATAGTTATAACAATAACTAATTACACAAAGTTGCGCTAATATCACTCTTATTTTTAAAACGGTTAAACGCAAAGTTCGTGAATTCGATTTTTCGGTACGCCTACTCCCTAAACGTGTTTATGCTGGCATTGAAGTCTCTCGATACACGAAAAGCAATAATATGCGAGATATCTCGTACTTCATAGGTAGCATAGGCCACAGTTTTCTCATCCTTCTAGGACATTATTATGTGCACGTTTCATTTAATATATCTTGGTTAATATAAATTTTATTCAAAACGTGCACAGAAAAAGAAAGTTTTCAAAGGAAAGAATTAAAAATTTTTGATTTTTAACAATAAACAATTTTTATAACTCACTTTATATAAAGTATAAAAGCAATGTAGAATATATAGAGGTCCCTAAGCCAAGCACCCCAGTGTTTTGCTAATAATAATAATAATAATAATATATACTATGTACTGTGTGACTTTAATATTGTATATTTTATAATTCTAAAAGGTATTGTGTTCGTAAATAAGGAAACATACGCATACGTGTTAATATTCGTCAAGAGTTTAGTTTTAAACCTGGCTACTCCAAAGACAGTCTCCAAGATACGTAGCAATCACCCCAACCGTTTTCCTGTTATTCGAAAACAGGCAAACCGTATCGCATTCGGCATACGCAGATTAGAAATACCTTAGAACTGGCTGACCGTTCGTCAAGGCGTTAACTATCGACCACCGACAGACAGTATATATCAGCGTCGCGGTGAAAGTTGTCAAAGAAGCGTCCCAGGGGGTGTGATATATGTTTTAGGAAGCGTTCGAAGACATTTAATCGTTCCAACATTCGTCAGGTAGAGTGCGGCGCGCATTTGCACGCGGTTTACACGCGAGCATAATCTATGGTGTTAGATATTTCGGGAGCCGGTCGGCACACCGAGTCCATAGCTATTTCCGAGTCCTCTCGAAACCGTGGGCATTTTAGGTATCCATCGAGCAAAACGAGCTCACCGAAACTCCGCGAAGGATAAATTTAACCGCTACGGGTCCCTTGGTTCGAGATCGCGCCGCCATGAACGGGGGAACCATCTCGCGTTCGTTATGGCCCCAAAGTAATTGGACGCGGCCCGGACGATTCTGTCGTTAACGAGAGACAACGTGCATCGAGATCGAGACGGTTTACTCCCGGTGAAAACGCGCGTCTCGCGCCGGGATTACGTAATCCTTCTTGGGCATGGTCGTTATTATGCATCTTAGACGGGCGATGTGGCTACCGACATGAAAACGATAGGATACGTTTCACTTTAACATACCGGTCTATTTCTCGAACGTGCCTCCGATAAATTTCTGCTCTTCGGTGTGTGGTGTAACATTGCTCAGACGGTGGTTTTAGTTTGTAATATTTTTGAGATATGCGACTACTCTGACCACACCCTCTTTCTAGAAACAGGGAACTTTTATTGGGAGAGAAGATTCTGAGTAGACTCTAAATATAAACTGTTCTATATCTTCCTTATTGTTGCTGTTATGGCGAGAGTTTTTATAATTTACGTTGTTTGGAATTAAATTTGGAAACTAGATGTATACGGATTTTTGTAAAATCGATAGTGATCGAGATAAATGAAATGAGATGAATATCACGATGGGACGTGGTCGGTGCCACACATAAAGTATACAACATGACGTTTACTGTTGCATTTACGACACATTTGTGTAGAATAAAAGTTATTGGAAATTAAATTTTGAAAACTGTTTAGTCTGTACAGGTTTTTGATAGGATCGATAGTAATTGAGGTATATTACATGAAAGGTGCACATCACAATATTCTTGTTAGGTGATGGGGTGTGGTCGATGACAAACAGAATATACGGCATGGCACTTAGTATTTCGTTTATAGAAAATTTGTATATTACAAAAATTATAGGGAAATGAATTTTGAAACTTTTTTGGTTTATACAAGTTTTCGATGGGATCGATAGTAATCGATGGAGATCGTATACTCGATATTGGTTTACCGTTAACTTCCCAATAAAAGCGCACGTAATAGAAGTCTTTGTTAATTGCGTTCTTAATATTTTTAATATAACATCAATTATACATTCTAAAATTTATATTGACGAATAACGAAACTAAAATAGTTACAAGACATTTTTAAGAAGTTTTCGATAAACTAGAAAATGAGCAGAAAATTTGTTGGTAACTATTTGAATATATAATAATCTTAAAAATAATTTATTAAAGGTTTGAAGACTCGATTACCCCTTTAGTTTTATCGTCCCTTCGAGAACTATATCAACCATTGACACATATTCCTCTTCGATTCGATACGAAAGGTTTTCCAAAAGGACCTTTAGAATCTCGTTTTTCTATTATATCACGAATGGTATGGTAAATATTAAATTATTTGTATTTTAAATGTGTGAGTACACATAATGGCAATTAAACGTAGGAGATGATGTCATTTAAAGGTGTATTCTAAGTAGAGCGTCAAATTTCAGGTATTCCTTTGAATTTCTTTTTCTTTAAATATGCACACAGATTTCTTTATATTTCAAAAATATATATAATTCATTTATGTATGGTATATTACCAAGTATGTGCACTTATACACCATTCTGTTTGGACGTCCCTAATTTCATTAATTCCACAAATCCGACAAAATCCTTTGACGCGTACATTTTGAAAGTTCTACACTTGAAGACAATGCAAAAGAAAATTGATTTTTGAAATTTCTAGACTAGAATACCTTCTTAAGTACCCTCCGAAATATTGGGAGCACAAATTTAGTTTGATCCGTTTTCAAAAGATGGCTCTGGCTTTTATGAATATTTCATAGTGACAACTGGTTTCAATTGTTTCTGAGAGGTTAGATATCTGCCAATAACATTCAGTTTATATTGCTTTGAGTTTCATTTAATACCCCTGTTTTTTACTTTGTTGAACATGTCAATTTTGTGTTAAGTAAGCAGCATTTCCGGGAGGTTTTAGTTTTCTGCTTTAATTGGAAAAAAGTGCAACTGAAGCACATCGAATGCTTGTTGAAGTCTACGGTGACAATGCTTCAACTGATAAATCATGTAGGGAATGGTTTCGACGCTGTAAGAATGGTGATTTTAGCGTTGAAAACAAGCCTCGCTCTGGACAGCCAAAAAAATTCGAAGACAATCAATTGGAGGTATTACTCGATGAAGATCCGAGTCAAACTCAAGAAGAGCTTGCAGAATCATTGGGAATTACCCAATAAGCAGTTTCTGTACGATAAATCCATGGGAATGATTCACAACCGAGGCAATTGGGTGGCGTATGAACTGAAACCGAGAGACATTGAAAGGCGATTTTTTACTTGCGAGCAGCTGATTCAAAGGCAACAAAGAAAGGGTTTTTTTACATCGGAGTGTGACTAGGGATGAGAAATGGATATTCTACGATAACCCCAAGAAGAAAAAATACTACGCTACACCAGGTCAATCATTACCATTGACCTCAACATCAACACCAAAATCGAATATTCATGGTTCTAAAGTCCTGCTGTGTATCTGGTGGGATCAAAAGGGTGTTGTATACTATGAGCTGCTACAACGTCGCGATTCCATTACGGGCCATCGGTATAGGCTGCAATTGATTCGTTTGACCCGTGCATTACGACAAAAACGACCGAAATATGATCAGAGACATGACAAAGTCATTCTTCTGCATGATAATGCCTCATATCGCAAAAGTTGTGAAAAATTATTTGGAAAAGCTTAAGTGGAATATTTTACCGCACCCGCCGTATTCGCCGGAGATTGCTCCTTGTGACACTTCTTTCGCAGAAATCGAAAATTGGCTTGTAACTTGGATCGTCTCAAAAGACGAGATATTTTTTCGAGCTGGAATTCGAAAATTGCCTGAGAGGTGGGAAAAAGTAGTAAACAGCGATGGACAATACTTTGATTGATCTGTTAATTCATTTGGTTCTCGAAATAAATGCATTTTTCACTACAAAAAAAAAAAAAAAAAATGGACCGAACTAATTTGTACTCTCAATATATTTCGTTACTATTGTCGAAACAAAATCCTAAATCCCCTTTTGCAAAACCCCGTGCAAAGCAATAACAGATTTTGCCAATTCACTGTACGGCCTCTAAAATTTGCCCATTATCCAGCACTTCCTACCGAGGGGACTTCCTCAGTTCATCCGTGATAAGAATAGCTCAATCACGAGCCGTTTCTAGCTCGTCTCAGCAGACGTCTCGCGCGTTTAGCCGCAGACGATGCACGGATGCGGATGGTCCGTGACGCGCCTAGCATCTCGCAGTTTAGCAATTTGTTTCGTTGGAGCGATTTGTACGCTCGCGGCTCATAGAGATTCTATCTGGCGATGCAAGGATCTTTCGCCCCGATGTAATTTAACAAACAGCGGACGACAA